GGCCTTACGAAGGGGGTAATTCTCTGCCCTTGCAGAAAAACGATCACCGCAGAAGGAGTGGCCCAACTTTTCTTCGAGAAAGTTTTCCTTAGATTTGGTCTCTACGACAAAATCATATCAGATAGAGGACCACAGTTCGCCTCCAAGCTCGCAAAAGAACTTGGAAGACTCCTGAACTATCAAGTCGCTCTTTCGACCGCTTATCATCCCCAAACCGACGGACAAACCGAACGAATGAATCAAGAACTCGAGACCTACCTCCGGATATATTGTCGGACGAACCCTAACGATTGGGCAAGTCACCTTCCTATGGCAGAATTCGTTCACAACTCCAGAAAAGGCAGTGCCAGAAATGCCTCCCCATTCTCCCTAATGATGGGATATGAACCCCGCGGTTACCCTCACGCTTTCCCTGACTCCACCCTTCCAGCTGCAGAAGACCGCATCAGACATATTCAGAAGATAAGAGAAGAAGCCTTAGCCTCTCACAGCCTCGCTCAACAACGAATGGCTGAAAGATCTCATGGACAGAAGTACGAACCATGGAAACGTGGTGATAAAGTTTGGCTCTCCGCAGCACACCTCATCACACGACTTCCCTCAAAGAAGCTAGCCCCCAAGCGATATGGTCCTTTCGAGATCACAGAAGTCTTATCGCCTATCACGTTCAAATTGAAGCTACCGAAAACCTGGAGAGTTCACTCCACATTCCATGCTTCTGAACTATCCTCCTATCAAGAGACAGAGATACACGGTCCGAACTTTACCGAACCACCTCCTGACCTTATCAACGGAGAAGAACATTACGAAATCGAAGCCATACTCTCGCACAAAGGGGCAGGCACAAGACGTCGTTATCTTGTATCTTGGGTCGGATACCCTGAATCTGAGAACTCTTGGATCCTTGAAACGGAACTTGAAAATGCAGCGGAGATTCTCAATGCCTATAAGAAGAGACTCAAGCTCGTCTCTAGAGCGTTAGGCCTCTAAACCTACCTTAACTCGAAACCAACATGTCTGACCGCTCCAGCTGCTCTTATGGTTCCGACCACAGTATCACAAACTTCTTTGAAAACAACCCCTTTACTCGTCCCCAAACCCCTGGCCAGCATCGGGCCATGTGGGAAGCCGTTATTCTCGACATTCAGTATGCTATGAGGCTTGACGCCTATGTAGAGAGGGTCGGCAATGCCACCCTCAAAGAACTCATTATCATTTTCCGGGCAGCAGACGCCCTCACTCCCGCAGCTATGCAGTTCCAACTCGACTCCTCCACCAGTCTTGGTGCGATCCCCATCAGATACAACCAAAGCAAGATCAAGAATGCAGTCTTGAACGCTATCCGACTCACCGTTGATTTCGATGACGCAATCAGGAGGATAGAGGATGAAAATGAGTTTAATCCACCTCCCGAGCCGTTCATCGCAGCAATGAGGCATATGACTCCGACCCCTCCCCTAGTCATCGAAGAAGATGAAGAAGTAGTAGAGCGTAGCAGCTCACTCTATGTGCCATACACACCCCCTCCTGTAGCCCAGCCACCTCAGGACTATTATTCGTTCCTTGGTCTATCTCCCCCCAGTACACCTCCTCCCAAAGTCGGGGGGGAAGAACAGCAACTTCCCATTGATATTTCCCCGTCCCAGTCAAGGACGCTCTCCCCTGAACTTTTGCATTACTCTCCACTGCAAAACGCTGTCCCTATCCCTGTCCCACCTCCTACTACGCCCGTCGATCGTGACGATAGGATGGACGTTCTCCGCAGAGCGCAAAGGCTTACTCGGATGAAGCCTAGATTGCTTTTCTCTATGGGGCTTCCTTTAAGCCAACATCATTACAAACATTACGACTTCGAATCTGCACCAGGATGTACCACCGCCGCACAATACTCCATCGAGAGAGCACAGTATGAAGCCGGAGAAACGACTCAAACCTATCCCTTCAACTGCATCTGTCGTACTTGCAACAATTGGGGGCATAAGCAGAAGCATTGCAAGAGGTACCAGTGCCGCATTTGTGGCAAATATGCTCCCAAGCACCTCACCCCATTCTGTCCCCTCCTCAAGGGCAAGAAGCTCCTTCGTCGCGGAAAATCTGCTGATAGATTTCATGGAGAAATGGCTAAGCTCGAAGCTGCCTTTGACCATGAGCGTGCTCGAGTTGCAGAAGAACGGGAAGAGAATGAACTCGACGCCATCGCCATGTTGGCAGATATTGACGTTGACCCTATCTACTATTCCAACCAGGATGATTGAAGTCGGTGACTTCAAACCTTTGAATGGGAGGTAATGTTACGATAACATACTTCGGAACGGGCCTCCCCCTATCTTTTCTCCTATCATATACTGCCATATGACGCCTTATCACCTTCTTGTACAGCATCCTTGATCGCCGTCTTATCTCGTATCCCTTATCTTGTACCCTGTACCCTTACCATTGCCTTGGTAGTCCTGCCCTGAACTGACCTTTACCTATAAGTAGTCAATCGTCTTGTCTTGTATTCTCTAACTTGAATCTACTCAGTCTTCTGATAGACCTTCCTTGAGCAAGACAGCTCTCGTATACGATTTCACTAAAGACTCTTCGTCTTAGTGCCTATACTTGATCGATACCATTAGTCTCGTCTTCGCTTGCCGACTCCTGTCACCAAGCCTTGACCCCAAAGATAAACGATAACGAAGCTTTGCATTATCTTCGTCTCACGTTGAGACTTAGTACAAAGCTCTTACCTGAGTCTACGCTTTCAGCGTAACAACTTTGGTGGGTTGGTCAACTAATTGCTTTCCAGTGTGTGCAGCAAGGAAGTCTGTTTGTGAACAAATGTATAATTCTGAATGTAAGGTCTCCCATGCTAGGGAGTGGCAAGTGAGTGAGCTATAGGGAGGAGTTTCATTGGTAATGTCTATGAGAATTATTATTGTGTCTGGGTGTGCTCTGATAATGTTCCTCAAGTGCTGAAGGACCTCAGTTTCAGGCTATGAGGCACCTACTAGCATGGTTATGGTGGGGTTGCTGCAAGAATTGATAGCATGGACGAACTCAGGGACAAAATTCAGGTCCCCCACTTTAATGATTAAGTTGGGATGCGACTGAGAGATGATCAATCTTCTAGGAATAAGGGGTTGGAGTATTTGAGCAATGTCTTGAAATGTGGGTCTGATAACATTTATGATGGTCTCATAGACACTTCCAGGCATCTCAATAATAAGCTTGCATTGAGTAGCGTAATATGTCAACCTATATGTGAATTTTAAATGTGAGTTATGAATCACAAGCAATCATCATCTATTTACCTAGGTTTTTTGGGTGATGCTTTGGTTGTGCATGATAACCAATTGTATTCCTCTTGGCTGATATTATAAAATGCCTGACATAATGATCGGATGAGTGATGAATAGATCATGAACAATGTACTGCAAAGTCTGATGCACAATTGATCTGTGAAATGAACCGAAGCACCTTGTGATGTTAACCTTGAGGTCACAATTATTTTGAGCAACAATATAAATTGATCAAATAGTTTCGCTTTCCTGGAAAATAGACCTAGAATGTTTCTTTTATGGGCAGTATTATGAACTCACCCTTTTGCTTTTGATGTACATGCATGAACTACAGAATCATTGAAACACAGTGTACCACAGGTCTGATGTACCTTGAGTAACTCTCGAGGTGTCTGAGAGGTGTGAAATGAGCTCTAGTCCTTCAGCGATGGTTGGTCACTAGTTGCATAAATAGTTGATAGTCGGCCTTCTTACCCCTGGGTTAGGACATATACAAGTTGATCCCAAAGTCATTGACATCAAAGAGATACCACTTATAAATTTTACTGAGCTGCACAAGACCCTCCTCCAGTGTAGGATTAGAAAAGGGAGGAGGGTTATTGGCCAAACCAGAAAATGGAAATCTGGTGATTTCCAGCCTGATATCTTTGTGCAACTGAGTCACAAAAAGTGTCCACCCTAGATCTATCAAGAATTGAGCCTGCAGAGGAGCAGCCTGGCGAGCTGGTGCTACGGCTGCCATAGTTACAGCACAGTAATATGTAATGGGGGCAAGCAGCCTCGTATATGGGAATGCACATGTAATACAGACTGTGGATAATCAGAATGATAAAAAAGGACTGATAATGCACCAATGGGGAACAGGTGGACATGGATGGGACCTGGATGGAGGAATGCTAGTAATATTCAGGTATCAGCTATTGCAGAATAATAAAAGAAACATTGACCTACATTCATTGAGCACTGTCTTCCCTTCAGAAAGCTATGCTGTGTGCCTTCCATATTCAGGACAAAGTACAGTTTCCAGACAATTGGCCTGGCTTGCCTTGAGACATCCCATGAATGTCATCATTATCCTGTTTTGGGAACTCTGTCTTTCACATAGTGTGAGATAGAGCAGGGGAGAGATTTAGAATGCAGCCCATGCTCTGTGGTACCTCATAGCAGCTAACCAATATATTTGACTCAACTTTGGAGATAATAGCCGATATGTGTGTATTAGCTTGCTGGCCACAGATATAGGCATCTTTACATTTGTAAAGATGTGTATGTAGGTGCAAGTGACATTGGTGTAGAGAGTGATATAATATATGCATGCCTACACGTGAAATAACATAAGGTAGACGTCGTGCGGATTCTACAAACATCACATGATGTGACATGAGTGTGACACGCTCAATGCTAACTATGCCGAGCAGGATAAGTAAGTAGGTACACTGTAAAGTGCGCATATACAATTGCAGACATTAGAATATTTAATGTGAGATATATGAATCAGGCCTGTGCCACGACATTTTCGCCACTGCAGTTGGTCAACCATGACTCGGAGCCCAGGTGAGACTGTCGGCTTCACGGCAGCCTCGCATTTCGGAGTCGACGAGCTTTGACCTCCGCTAGGAGGGGAAATCCATAGAAACCAAGTTAACTAATCAACAAGTGCACTTTCACAAATTCTGCAAATATCATAATCTTCGCAAAGGCTTTTTCTATCCATTGACATTACAGATTGTGTCCCTGTTTCCTCGTTGATTTGTTAACCTTTTTTCTGTGTTTTGTCACTCAAAGTCACGATTTATCACGTGATGTTTGTAGAATCCGCACGACGTCTACCTTACCTTATTCCATCAAGCTCAAGTTTCACATCTTCACTATCACACACCACTGTATCCTCTTCAGTCTCTTCAGCCTTCACCATCTCGCTGGTCTCCACGCTGTAATATATGAGTAACATATGTACCTTGCGCTCAATATATATATAAAATGTACCACATGGTGACCTCTGGGTCTGCTCCCTCTCGGAGATGGATTAGAATGGTCTGAAAGTTATACTATATTAGATGTAGATGAAATAAAGTGAACACACCTTGGTTCCAGGACCATCAAACAAGACTTTAAATGTATAGGTCTTCCAGTTCGGTAGTACCCCATCAACTTCAAAGAAGACTATATCCCCGCACACACTGACAGTATTGGTTTTATCGTAGGTGAGGACATAATGAATAGAGCCGATGTGAGTTTCTAAGTGAATGCGACACGATGGTGACACACCAAGATCTCAAGCGGATACTTCCAGCGGAGTTACAATTCTATATCACTGTACTAGTATGTGCAAGTTCTGTAGCTCGTACCTCTATCACACTGTCAGGATGTTCTCCAGCAACACTGGAGGTTCTTTAAATTTTCAAGGCAGGTCTTTGTTTGATTCAGATTAAACTGCTGGTTGTCCTTCACAGAATCCGCATTTTGGGGAATATACCCCATCACCAGCACCCCTGTCTTCTGGACATATGCCATTGTCTGACATCAGGGATCCTTATATTACCCCACAACCAATTCTGACCCCGTTCCAACGGGTGCCTTGGTTCCTGATAATTTCTTCCCAGAGTCTGCGAACTAACAATATAAATTATAGGGTGCATATATGCATAATAATCAGCAGCTTCAGGCCTTGCGTGAACACTGCAAGACTCTGGAGATGCAAATCCTCAAAGTTGTGGCTGAACATGATACCGTCATGTACATATTAGTTTACAAGTTTCATTTATACTCAGTCTCACATTTGACAGTGCTGCTTTTCAAACACTCGCCGATCACTGCGGAAACGAGAAAATAGTCCTACCCTATTCCTAGATAGATAACTTGTATAATCATACCCAAACCCACACCAAACAATAAACCCCACCAAAACCCGATATGCTGCGAAATTTGAGGGATCCTGGGAAGAGCACAATTGTAAGCAGACTGTTTTCTGACTTTGTGCTGTCACGTTTCCTGACCCATGCCTACACCTTGCAAATGTCTACTATTCTATGGCTAATCAGATCTGAAAATCCAACATTTCAGCATTGGTTTAACGTAGACTTGCAACAAGGTAAATTTTCAAATTTTCGTCTAAGTTCAAGTCACCTAAGTACTAACTACACTATGGCAGACCACAACACCATCAGGCTCGAGCTGCCCGCATGGGTGAGATCATTCAAGTTCACCTTCGAATGCAGGAAACCAGGTCCTATGGTAAGTCCTATTTATTCAAACTGAACATAATTGTCTACTACTGTATGCATGTAGGCTGTCAATATATTTATGCGAGCACCTCTCAACTCATAAGCTCAGGCAGTGGATGATAGCGAAATGGAAATGCAATCAGAGCCAGCTACAGAAAATCTGGTGAGTTTTCTCTGTTATTTTGAATTGTGTTGTTGAATACTACATCTATTTTAGAGGTGTGCTGCTCAAGCGCTGGTCAGTGGTACCGGGCAGCTCGTCAATGACAGCAAAGTAGAACCAGGAACTAAAGGCCTCACGCAACCACAAACCAGTACAGCCAAGTGGTAAGTCATTTTGTATCATTATCTCTTGCCTCATATGCCCATCCTTGACTGACCTTTCTGTCCTAGTGCTGGACCTGTGATTGATGACAGCGAAATGGAACCAGAGTTGGAACCAGAGGCTTAGACACCAGCAGACTTTACTACTTGGTATAAGGCTGACCATCGACTGTCCTTTCAGAATCACACATAGTTTCTGTAGTAGGGCTGGTAGTACTGCTATAATACACTCACGTGACATGCAAGCCCTCTCGAGTTCCAACGTGTCTAAGATCCAAGCATCCACATCATCTGTCACACAATATGTTACTTCACTGCTCGTGTACGACCAACAAATGTGCAGGAGCCCTAGTTCCTGTGCATACAAAACGAAATCATGAACACGCAGACCTCAAAAACTGAACTGTCACTGAGCAAGCCTATGCTCAAGCTCCACCACACAAAAGGATGCCTAGACTCTTGCAAAATCTACCTATCTTTCAGCACAAGCCTGTACCACTCCTGTTACCGAGATTTGAGTTCCCGGATCCTCCTTGATTGTCGGAATCGCCAGTCAAGCAACAAATGCTCAATTACAGATTTCTCACAGGAGAAGATCTTGACATCATGACCCATGGCAGCGAGTTACCTAACCTTGGGCCTAACTTTCACAGTCCAGAAGCCATGTTAGATGCTGTTGATCATTTTGAGGACTACAACACATGAACTGCAGCGGGTTCTTGTCCACTCACATCCCACCTTGCTCACAACCTCCCCAATGACCCAGAGCTGCATGTGGTGCAACATGGATTCAAGCATGCATATGAGCAGCTCCAGGAGGAGGGAAATTGCGCAGATACACATGCCAATGAATATGAAGATGCAGACATTAACATTGATGCATGCTCTGAACATGAAGATGAAGACACTGACGTCCTCATTACAGTAGAACCAGAGGAAGATACCCCCGACCCTTTCATGCCTGAAGGAGGCACTACCGCGGACGAATACGTGAATCACCAAGGTGTCCCCCCACATCTCTTAACAATATATGTGGTCGTGTCGTGGTTACACCTTCAATTTCATCTCCCTCGTGTAGTATGTAATGCGCTACTTGCCATTTTCACGTGCATGCTACTCGTTATCTCTCCAACAAACGACCAACCGTTTGTGACACTTCAATCTTGCACTCGGGTCCTTGGTGATGATCCTGTCATTCAAACTCTTCCTGTTTGCCCTGGATGTCATGATGTTTTTCCTCCCACTGGCTCGTTGCATGCCCAGGATACATGCATCACCTGCAATATCTCACTATTTCTCCCAGGTCAGACTAGACGCAGAATTCAGCGCACTAAGAAGATACTTGTGATCAAGTACCCATACCTCACCCTATCAGAACAAATCAAGTCAATGCTCAAAATACTGGGAGTCGAAGCTGTCCTCGACGAGTGGTGTTTGAAACCTCGAAGAGCTGGCGAGTACACAGATATATTCGACGGAGATATATGCCGTTCGAAGCTCAAGGACCCAGATGGTAAGGTTTTCTTCTTAAATCTCCCCACAGAGAGGACAGGGCCGAACAGTGAGCTGTGGATAGGTATCAATCTCAAGTAAGATTGGTGAGTCACTGGAATTTTGTAGCCGGTGTCGGAAAAAGGTAAACGACCTTTATAATGCTGCCGGCTTACAACTCTAGTCACATGTGTCACAAGGTGCCTTGTAAGTGCCTTTTAAGGACGGCGGAGAAAATAGAAGGCCTTGTCACAGGGGCTATGAGTATTGTGACAAGTATTATCATGTGACCTTGTCAGATCAACGTATGTAATAATCAATCACCTCGAGTTCTTCTCGTCCTTCTCTCCTGTACACCGACGTGTACAAACTGTTTTCATACTGTCTAATAGTCTGAATCATGGCTCCGAACCGCCCGAGCCGAGGTAAGTATAATTACACTGAGAAGACGCTAACTAGTGGGTCTCAGTGCCCACATTGTGGCAATATGTACAAGTCCCAAGGCATCAAGCGGCATGAATCAGTGTGCAAGATGCGCGATGTGGAGGGTCGAGAGGCTTTTAATCAAGAATATGAGAGAGATCAGCAGATGTGTGAGTCCAGGTGATCCATTGCTTGCATTTATTTACTGATATTCGAGACAATCATTTTGATCAGCACGCTACAAGAAAACTCGATGAACGACAGCCGTAGCAGCAGCGGCTGGCCCATCGCGCATAATCACAGATGACTCCTCCACGAATCCAGAACCACAAGCACAAGGTATGTCATCATCCCACTAGATTTGTTTGCTCTGACACTTCAAACATCCTTCAGCGCCTATAGCCGGCCCAGACGAGCACATTGAATTTGATGCTGGAAATGGGGATGTTCAGAGCCCAGGTATGTACTTCTCTCTTCATTTTTCAACAAATCAGTGACTATTATCTATGTCGCAGTTCTATCTGATGCTAGCATGGCCAGTAACACTGCTCCCAACATCCCACATCAGCCTGCATTGGATATTGAACGCCCTCAAGAGTTCAAAACTGAGTTCCACCCACGTAGTGGCTGTGAAACACTTTATCAAAAGTTCGAGGAGTTCGGTGTCATCCCAGAGACACGAGCACCTCCTGCGGACGAAGTACCTTGGCGCCCATTCTGATCGCATGGAGATTTTGAGTTCTCCGAAATTGTGCTTGATGCTGCTCTCAATAAGGGCCATGTTGACAGGCTTCTCAGTCTTATTTCTCGCATAGCACAGGGCGACACTCAGGTAACACTGAAAAATGAGGCCGACCTTCGCACGGCATTAGATAATGCTGCGGCCGAGTTGACACCGGTATGTATTTTTTTTGAATCGACGCGCGATACTTGTCTGACTGCTTAGGTTGTTATATAGTTTACCAAACATGAAATTACAGTACCATACAAGAAGGAGCAACGAGTTTTCGAGGTACATGCAAGGCCGTTATGGGACTGGGCCCTCGACCTTTTGGAAAACCCGCTACTCGCACCATATTTTGTTTGGGATGCGCAGCGCGCCTACAAACACAATGGCACGAACTTTGAGCGTTTCTTCAGTGAACCGTGGACAGGGGACCGGTGGTGGGATATCCAAGTATGTTAATACTATGTTCGATATTTATGTATATTCATGTGCAGTGATCGTGTCTATGTAATCAGTCGCATCTCCCATCAGATCTCGCCAATGCTGCCCCTTTTTGCTTCATCCTGTATGCAGACAAGACCAAGCTGTCTTCGCATGGCACTGTGAAAGGATACCCGGTTGTGGCTCACTGTGCAAATCTACCCGTGGACATTCGAAATGGCGAGGGGATTGGCGGTGGTCGGGTTGTTGGTTGGCTACCAATTGTGAGTCAGCGCTCATCAGTGATGCCCCACTGAATCTTATGAATAACATTATTTATATCGCAGATTGACGAAGAAGCATCCGAACACGGGAAACCGGGATACATCAACGTTAAGCGTGTCGTATGGCACAAATCGCTCATCAAGCTTTTTTTCAACCTTGAGCAATATTCAAAGACCGGATATTCATATACATGCTACGACAACATAATGCGCTGGTTATTCCCTGTAATACTAATACTTTCCGCAGATTACGAAGAGCAGTGAGTGCGCCACTTATTAATGTCTACTAGACTCACATACAGCCTCCAATTGTTAATAGATGCATGATGTCTCTTATTCGTGGTGTGCAATGCAAATGCCCATGTCCTGTGTGCCTTGTGCCTCACGAAGAACTTTCCGACTTGTCCAAGACATTCGCAATCAGGTCCCTAAAGGATGCGCAGGCTGCGCTCGAGGTTTACAGACACAGCAAAACTCAAGGCGAGCAGCTTTTGAAAGTGCTAGGATTACGCCCGGTTACTGTAAGTCATGCATTTCCATTCTACTAATCTATTCTACTAACACATTACATTCAGAATGTATTCTGGTCTATTGAGCGCTCCGACCCTCACGATGCACTGAGCATTGACAGGTTGCATACAGTGCATAGCGGTATGGGAGGGCACCATTTGTTGGGAGAGTTAAAGACGATTCTTGATGATCTTGGACGTGAAGCCCAAGCGGCAGTTGAGAAATTGTAAGTTTCTTTGTCTCTACTGTATTGACATCACTCTACACCTACTTTCAGTGTCGAGGAGTTCCCTCAATGGCGTCATCTCACTCATTTCATGACCGTCATCCATGTCACATTTACCGACGGTAACAAGAAGCGCGATCTGGTCATGGTAAGTACAAACAAGAGTATTAATAGATATGCTTGGCTAACTATTGTAAAGCAAGTGTTCTATGCAGCGCTCTCCGTTTTGACACGCAGGGCCAGCTCAGAAGGCTATTGCCTTCTTCGTGTCATTTGCAGCTATTTACAGCTGGACAGCTTGATCGGGCTTGATGTGCATACAGAGCAGACACTTGCAATGTTAGATGCCGAATTCCTTGCCTTTGATGCTGCTCTCAAGGTGACCTTTTCACTTTTCATTGAATTATCCTTACTGACTAGATCTCAGGACTATGTGGAATATGCTACAACTTCATCCATTGAAGGTCTCAAGACAGACTGGAACTTCCCGAAGGCACATATTTGGATACACGCACGACGCGATATCACAAGGAAAGGTGCAGCGCGTAATTTCAGTACGCGCCCTAATGAAAAACTCCACGGTCCCCTCAAAACAGCCTATCTTCATCGCTCAAACGGCAAAGATGTTGCTAAACAGGTATGCGCATTCATTCATTTTTCATGCTATTATACCGTTAATATGTTATGTACAATTGTAGATACTTCATGTGGATCACCATAAATGCGCGTCCTTGCTTTTGCGAGGACGTGTGGATACACTCGACGAACAGCGTCGCCTGCAGGCCTTGGGTGAATCCGCGGATGAGGATGACATTGGCCACATTGCCTTTGATGGACACATCAAGCTCGGCTCTCCTCAAAATTGCTCTACTATCCAGGATATTGAAATGAGGCTGGGCGTCCAGGATCGAGCGTTTCAAGGCTTCCGCAGGAAATTTACTGATTTCATCAACACGTCACTGCCAACCTATGGGTACCAGTTGACGAGATGGGTGACCATTCCGGCTGATTTCCAGGTACGTAGATTGATTGTTCTTCATCACACTAACTTATTATGATATATCATTCAGATCTATGAGCATCACTACGTCAAGGTTAATTATGAGAATGCCGTTGACTGGAGGCAGTCAACAGACCACCTCCGGTGCAATCCATCTTTCCATGGACACCCGCACTTCAATTGTGCACTCATCCAGCTTACCACAGAAAGGGCCATCTTCGTACGGCTCATACTAATGTTTAAATGTGAAGTTCCAGATGTTGGCGCTTTTCAATTCGCACTTGTTCAGCCTTATACCGCTGGGATTGTTGGCGGTTCACGCAGGATTGACCGAGACCTGAGGCTTACTCAGGTCAAAGCGGTCCCCAGAGCTGATTCAATTATTGTCCCACTCAAGTCCTTCATTCGAGGAGCCCTTTTGTCTCCCGATCCTCAACACCAAGGCGAGTATTCGGTTGTCGGACATGTTGATAGTGATATGTTCGTCCGTATGAAGACCTGGGCGCGTTGACACATGTAAGTATTACTCGAATTTCATGTCTACTATTCTGACTTCATTAACTAGCCAACCAATCACAACCGCAACCGCAACCGCAACTGCAACTGCAACCGCAACCGCAACCGCAACCGCAACCGCAACCGCAGCAGCAGCAACAACAACAACAACAACACCAACACCAACAGCAGCAGCACAGTTCATGGTGTTCGCGGCCTCTGTTACCCCCCTCCCTCTCTATCTCCTCCAATCTCGCCAACAACCACAACCACAACCAAAAACCGCCACCGCCGCAACAACAACAACAGATGCAGCAGCAGCACTGTTTGTGACAGTCGCGGCCTCTGTAACCCCCCTCCCTCTCTATCTCCTCCAATCTCGCTGACAACTGCAACCATAACCAGAAACTGCCACCGCCGCACCAACAACAACAGCAGCAGCACCAGCAGCAGCACCAGCAGCAGCACCAGCAGCACCAGCAGCAGCAGCACTGTTAACGACGGTCACAGCCTCAATCACCCCCCTCCCTATGGATCTCCTCCAATCTCGCCAGCAACTCAACCGCAACAGCAGTAATAACCATGCATGTTGCCTCGAGGCCCCTGCGCTGCATCTTCCACGATGCTCATCAGCGCCCCACCTTAGAGCCTTCTGAGTCCGCTTTATGAGACACCACGAAGAGCACCAGGCGGTTTTTGGACAGGTCACTCATGGTAAGCCTATTGGTATCTTTACGCATCATTGTCGGCTAATGCTTTTTCGGTATACTGCTCGTGTCAAAGTACGTACGAAGGGTGCAATTTGATGCATTGATGCACGGGTAAGTTTTGTTAATGTATCTCGCTATCATTATCACCGCTCATCATCATGCCAATAGACGTCAGCAGCACCGCATCAATAACCGACGCAAGGATAGCATTCTCCTTATAACCTTGGAGCACGCAGGTTTGTTTCTGTACCGTCAACAATCCTCACTAGTAACAGCTCATCACAGCCTTAGTTTCAAAATGCCCCAGACTTTCGATGATTCTGATGGCAAGAACTTTGAGGCCGAGATTGATGCCGTTAGTGATGTCGACGAAGCATCAGACGGCGAAGACCCAAGCGGCGATGAGCTTGAAACATTGAGGACAATCCTCACTGTCCCTCGACCGGAAGCACCCATGCACGAGGTTCGCAAGGCAAGTACATTCATTCTGCTATTCTATTACTCGACCTGACATAATCTCAATGTATCTAATAATTAGGCAATCAAAACTGCACAGCAAGCATACAACTCACTACGAGTTGAGTTCAAAGCTCTCAAGAAGGACTACCTTGCGCTCTCGGCTACTGTTCCTGCCCGCAGCCGTAACCGTGCACTCAATAAGACATCCGCTCTCGACACGAAAATCACTGCCGAAGGGAAGAAGTACACGTTGTTCTATCATTTCTGGGTCATCCCTGGCGTCTTCCCAACAACTCCTCAGCCTGACAATGACCCACGTAGTTCTACACGTTGGGCATCTCCTGAGGCCAAACTCAATGGTGCCATGGCGGAATTATATAACTGTGTGTCCAAGGACTTGCACAAGTCCATGGAGAAATATACGGCATTTGATTCTCTGGTACGTTCTTTCACCTCTTTCTGTCCTACAACCTACTTACCTGATATTTCTTCTCAGTTTCGTGCCACAGTTAGTGCTGAGCGGTCAAATATTGTGCATACTATCAAGAGCTGTGCAAGTCTCATCTTCTCAACACTCAAGCTCGATCCCACTCTCTTTCGTCTCAGACAGATACCAGAAAGCGGGACGACCACGATCTACTTCATCTGCTGAAGAAGAATGGCGAGGGAGATTACATTCGGCTGGCACCCATTCTGTTTGCGAGGCCAGACACCATGGTGGCCGAGGAGTTCCTCGAGAATCCTGTACTTGTCAAAGTAAGTACACACTCTAATATGAAAGACCGGTATGCTGACAACATTCATTCCAGATCATTCGCGTTGAAATGTATGGGAAAAAGATCCTTTCTGGAAAGACCAAGGGTCAGAAGGCTAGAGGACAGCACTGCAATGCACAATGTGTCACTGAAGGTTCAATTGCAGGTGCTGCAGTTATGGTGAGCGAGCGCATTGTCTTATATTGTCATTTTCTACTACTGATTACTCCAATTCATAGGCTCGGTTTTTGTTGACGCATGATCCTGAGTTCACTGCGACTGGCGCAGAGACCAAGATCAGCTATCAAGCAGACTACGATTTCTACTTGGAGCGCTTGTTCAAGCGCACACCATGGGCCTGTAGTGTCATAGATTTCTTCAACAAGGAGGTCTTTGACGTTACCAGTCGCAGTCTAGTACCAACTTCTGACAACTTTCCTTCTGCCACTCAAGCTCGAACATGGGAGGATGACCTCCTAGATGAGCTTGATGCTCCCGTTCAGATACCGTCTGCTCTCACTTCCCTCCCTACTAGCTCAGCAGTGGTCGATGTCGCCTCCAGTTACCGCGCTTCCATATCCGTCAACCATGGTCCGTCCACATCTGCAACTGCACAGTTGCAGTTGGGTGTTAGTCAGTTGACGCTGGACAGTGGCACCATCGCTGAGACAACCGCATCAGCAATTCGCAGTGTGTCTGCTCATCAACCTCGAGTTCGCACTGCTTCCGGTGAGCCAGCCCATGCACCCGAGCCTGAACCAGTCAAGCGTGTTACTTGTCATGGTGGCAGCAACCGGGAAGTTGCTAGTAAACATGGACCTAAGGGAAAAGGGAGGGGAAAGCGCTGATATATGATCTTGTTGTCGCTACGTCGTATTTTGTTGTGTCTTTGTAAGGCTCTTAGATTTGTTGTATCTCATTTTACACACATAGGTTGAATTATGTTTGTGTCTTGTCGGAATTCTGACAATCTCAGTAGTATCCTTATAAGGTACTCAAATACCCTATATAGCGAAGCAGGTTTCAAGGTATTCTGAGGCCTAATAACCAAGCGGTAACTATGCCGGTGAGTACTATGAATTATAATACTTCAAATAATGCTAATGGCGAGCGTTCGAATCCCTCCAAGTACAATAGTTCAACTTCAAATAAAATGGTTGAAGTTAAAATAGTAATAGGTAGCATTAGATAATGATGATCAAGATTGGAATACGATTAGATAAAGTGATTACGATTACAATATGATTAGATAGCATTAGATAATGATCGGTCAAGATTGGAATACATCCGGGAACATTGGAAAACCTATTTTTATCTTCAATTTTCCCGCCAACCCTTTCAAGACCTTGCAAAGCTTACATGATATTCCCCGTGAGGGGTACCCTTTTAAGGCATCATAAGGTGGGAACAATGACCTTTTAAGGTGCCATTAAATATTATCTCCATCATTGCAATGCCTTAAAATACAGTGTGTGAAAATCAGGCCTTAAAATGTATTATGAGGCCTTGAAATGGTCCCTGGAAATTTCCGACAGGGACCACGATCTAATTGTCCAATTATCAGGTTTTCGTATATACGCAGCAACATCGCTCCATCTCACTCATCTGGTCCAACCTCCTTTTCGATATGTAATTTACCTCCGGAGTATCGGTTAGTTCTTGTTCACTCAATCTCGTAAACCTCAGCTAATTCGCTAGATATCGCACGTCAAATCTCATGTGCACGAGCATATTGCCTGGGCCAAAGGAGCAAAACCCCGAACAGATACAGCGGTTCTTATGTCCGATCATATCTGATTTGCTTCTTCTTTGGAAGGACGGGATCAACGTCCCCACAGAGTCGTGTCCCGAAGGTCATCTTGTGCATGTGATTCTCGTCACCATTGTGTGCAATAAGCCTGCGGCACATAAAGTTGGAGGATTTGTGTCCCACTCACACACACACTTTTGTACCGTGTGTTGGATCTCGATTTACGACAAAGACAAACCAAGAGCATTCGAGAAAGGAGGTATGTTTTTTGTATTCCTCACACACGTACTATACTAATAGTTTCTAGCATTTAAACCTAGAATGAACGCGGAGCAACATAAATTAGGGGAGGAGTACCAAAATCTCACCACACCAAATGCATGCAAGATTTTTGTCAAGGAACACACGACCCGCTACACGCAGTTATCTCACCTTCCCTATTTCAACCTTGTCGAACAAATTGTTGTCGATCTGATGCATAACTTATTCCTTGGTAAGCCTTATTCTCTTGTCTGTATGTTATTTTGCTGACACTATATCTCATGCGAAAGGCCTCGTGAAAACTCACTTTTATAACATATGGGTGCAGAGCAAAATTTTACGACCGAATCACGAGCTCAATGTCCTTCACGAGATGCTCGCAGACATAACTATTTTTTTACTCTATTTACATTCAACTATACTAATATCTCAAGTTTGTTGTACAAGGCTCGTGCGGCAAGTTACCGACGGATATAGGGATGCCATTGGGAGGCTCGTTAACAGCTGATCAGTGGCTCCTTTTGTTGACAGTTTACGGGCCAGTTATTGTTCCTCAGTTATGGAGTAAGTGCCTCCCAACTGACACAGATCAAGAGATCTTGAATCAGCGAGTCGCACTGATTGCACGGATGGAGGCCGAGAAAGTTGTACAGGCCTCGCTTAAGGCAGATGAGAAGAGCGCACTAGCGGAAGCAAAGAAGAAAGGGAAGGATGTGTATGCAGCCGAAAAAGCACGCATCATGAACGAGAAGGCCAAAGTGGCTGAAGCGAAGAGGATTGCTAAGTTGCATGCGACCGCAGCGAAGCAGGCAGAAAAGGTCAGACTTTTGGCAGAAAAGAAGGCTAAGGCTGCACAAAGGAAGGTACATTGATTTCTATCGTTTTTATTGGTATACTAATCACATCAAGTCTATGAAACGGAAAGCAGGGTCACAGGTAGTAATGGACCTACCTGAGGGCCAAGTGCGACCTCCTCCACCAGCACCGGTACCTCAACAGACCGCTGTTTTGGACGAATCAGCCCCCCAACCTGACGATGATGTAGACCTCAAGCTCTCTCTGCATCCCGACGACCCAGCGCATTTTCTTAAGCTTTGTGCAGCATTATGGATCCTTGTTCAACACCACATCAACAATGAACAAATCAACACTGCAGAGAAACTTATTCAGGAGTATGGCACTGAATTGATCAAAGTATTGTTTTGCCTCACGTCACACCCAATATACTAATCATCGAACTTGCAGCTATATAGATCAAGTGTGATAAAGCCAAACCATCATTACATGACCCATGTTGCTGACTGTGCACGCAACTTCAGGCCTCTCAACAACTTCTGGATGATTCTGTTTGAACGACTCAACAAGGTCCTCAAGTCTTTCAAAACGAACAACCACGCAGACGGTGAGCTTGAAACCACGTTCTTTCGGGAGTTCCAGTGGATGTGTCAGACTGGGTGTTTGGTGAGTTATATCCCTCTGCTGATACTAAGAACAGATTCTACTGATGACCAACAGACTTATAACCTCCTACGTTATCTGACAGACTCACTGCCCTGTGAAGCAGCCAAAATAATGTTGAAAGCTTCTAGTGAGGAACGAGGCACAGTTGCTGGACTCACGGCATTATCACAAGATCTCGAAATGTTGCGTCTGATGGTGTGTCACACTTCCTGCTATACTTTTAGTCACCTAATACCCCCATAGCAGGCCAATCCTACGCATTAGTCTGGTGGTAAGTGATGCTCAAAATTGTGTTAACTAATCAGCTGATCTCAGCTGGTGAGTGCATGGTTGAGAGTTCAAACCGAGTCAGTGGCAGAAAATAAAGTGGTGCAATTAAGTAATCAATTTTCTCAACCCCCTCACACTTTCCGACTGCCTTATTCTCCTTAAACTGCCTTAAAATAAGGAGGTTTCGAGGAAAGCTCCTTAGTTTAAGGCAATGGATCTCCTTATTCTAAGGAGGTTTTAAGTGTGAATTAAGGCAAATAAGGACAAATAAGGAGCAAATAAGGGACAAAAAGGAACTCGATGATTTCCTGATGCAGTCAACAACCTCATATTCAAGCAATTCTTCATGCTGCCATTGAGCTCGTTGAACAAGAGCTGGTATTTGAGTGTTACTTTCCCCGACCAAAACTTCGCAACACCATGATGGTCAACTTAGTACTTGAAGTTGCATCATCAATGGAACATCAAGGAGTCTTACAGCACTTGGAACAAGACCATGCTTATGCGAAAGCTTTTGCCAAAGTGGTGGGTCTCTTGTCTATATTTTTGCAACCCGCAATTCTCATGCAAGTCACGCTACTGATTAGCCGGATGGGTGTATTGCGTTGATTCGCAAGAAACTCAAGGAAATTTCGGATTGTGTTGTTCCCGGTGCATATGGGGTTAAGATGGGTGACGACAAGAAGATCAACCACTTGCTCAATCTCATGACGTTCATTTACAAGTTCGACACAAAGGTTCAGTTTAGTTCATTGCAGATGTTTATCCCCTTTGACTTTTGGGACACGACAGGGCAACCCCATCTTCAGTCAGCCATCTGACCATCCCACTGTCAACACTGTATGCCAGCTAGCCATTTTTACCAGTCAGGACCAAGTTGGGATCAAGTACAAGGATCAATTCATCTCCGTACTCAATGACAATGATGAACCTGAGGTCCCAAATTCCATGGTGTCAGTGGTGGTTACTGCGATGCGCCTTATTCTGACTGTTCAAGCACTGTCTTACTGTGTTCTACCAGATTTTTTCTTCTCTACTTGATCTGAAGTCTGTTGTTGATGGAGGTCGCGAGTGTGGTGATTTCGGGCAGGGTCTCATCGGCATGTTCAACAACAATATGGAAATGCTCAATGGAATCTATGCCAAGGGCCCCCATGTTTACCATTCTCTCATGGCTCGAAAATACAAAGCCGTTAGGTATGTTCTGGTCTCCTGCCTTTGTTGCATGCTGCTCATAACTTTGACTTTCTGCAGCAGTGTGGTTGACTTTGCGTTCACTGAGTTGAAGGCAGCATTCGCACAAATCACAAGTACTTTGTGTTACGACTTTGTCCCATTTCCTCGTTTTCATACTATCCTGTGATTCGCGGTATCCTATATACCCTGCTTTAATCTCATTCTAATCATTTTCTTGTATTCTTGTGGATTTTCATAAATTTCCACCTATCCGCAAAGGGACTTGGATTATTTTCACGTATTTTAAGAATATCTGAAAATCTAAGAAAATCTTCACGGGAGGTTTTCCCTGAAGTATCATCTTAGCTATCAACATAACATCGTCTTTAGGACAAACAATGCTAAGGACAAGTGAGTCAGCATTACCTTCACTGATACCAGTGTGAGGGAGTTGGGAGTTGCTAATTCCATCGACAATGGTTTTTTCACGGACCTTGAAGTGGACTAGTGTAAATGTGGTGCATGCTAATTTACAGGTGCTAATTAGCCCTGCTAATTAGCGCTAATCTACTGTGTTAATTTGTGAGGCCCAAAACACACTGTTGATTTGGGTTAATTTGCTTGAGATGTTTTATCAGCCAATCTGCTTGAAGTTGCCTGCCAGAATGAGAATGTAGCAATATTGTACACATCAGATAAAATCTCTCCCAGGAAATCAAGGTAACTTCAAGTAATTCTCTTGTTTTCAAGTGAAAACAGGTTTTGCAGTTTTATTTAAGTCCAGTAGCTCGTTTAACAAATTACCTTGAATTCCGAGACTCTCAGAGTTTGTTTTGAATTCCACTGAATTCACTTGTCGGTCAATTACACAAAAATCAATATTATTGTTGCATTGTCGTCGTTAGAGGCACTTCCCAATGCAAAAGCTTGGGATGCATGGCCGTAGAACCATATTTACCCTAATTAACCGTTAAATTCATCAAATTTACACTGATTTACATACGTTAATTTGACCTTGTGGATGGTGTCTGCAAATTAGCAGCGTTAATTTGGCCTCAGACCAGATTTACAGGACACTAAATTTTAGTGGACTGCTCACTTTAGACTGTCATCGCTATCTTGTTATACTGTAGGAATCAACTCAATTCGACACCCCCATGTGACCGTGACATGCCAGGTCGATTCGACATTCCGACACTTAGGCCTGTGATGTGTGACATGCCGAAAATTTTCGACAATGTTACTGGCGCTATCATGATGACAAGAGCTAGATTTTGTAAGTAGCCAAAACATTTGGTGCATCGCACAGATACAGCGCGAATCCGGAGTCGTGTACTCCGCGCAAATCTGGGGTCGCCATGGAAGAAAATTTTGATTTTTTTTGTGACATCAAATGGTTTCGACACAAGCCGATGTTACGTGAATACGTGTGACAACTACCTAATTTCGACACACTGACTGTGACGCGTGACCGTCGAATTGAGTTGATTGAGGTTGATTGCTACAGTACTAGAGGAGTCTCTTGTATACAGCTCTCAGTCAAAGAGGTCATTATTCCCACTGGAACAGCTCACAGCCGTGTTCGAGAGGTGCCGCCGTAAACCAAGTAAAACAACATCTATGCAGTCTCTCAAGAAATCTAATTCGAGGCTCTGAGGCGAGTGACATGTGCACTTCTGTGGGCTAAGCATCATGATTCCGCTAAGTGAATTACTCCCGTGTCAGCTGTTGAGCGCTAATCTGCCTAACTCGCAATAACGCTGTGGCTGTTCAACAAGGTTTCAGTTCAAGTCATTACGGATGGCAGCACAGCTGTCTCAACCGTCGTGTTATCATTGGTGTTTGATGTGGTGACAGGACAGCCCTACCTCTTGCGAGGGCACACTCGTTGAGTTACATCAGTTTCGTTCTCGCTAAAGTGCACACGCATTGTTTCCGGTTCGGAGGATCATAATGTGCGGGTCTTGTATACAGCAATAGGGCGTTCATTGCATAACTGCGCCGAGGTAGAACGCCCAGAACTCTCACCAGATAGAATTCGTACCACGCATCCCACAGAGGACTTCATCATCTCAAACAACACTCGCAACAACCACCTCATCTGCTTCTCATCTCACTCCGATTGTGCGCCGAGCTACTTGAGGGCACCTTTGAAGATGACTACTAGTACTGGTGGACAACCTTTTCTCTGCAAGCTGACGGACGGATACGGTTGGACCCCAGCGCCGGCTTCTATTCTGAATACCATACGCATCCCGAGACCCTGCACTGCATTGGCGATACCCAGAGTGAGAGGGAGCTGCACAACACTGACAGAATTGCCGATATGAGCGAGTCTCTAGCCAGTTCCAGTGTTGGGAAACTCGACACTTCTTGCTGACGAAGGTCTTATTCCAGCAATTCACTTGTACTGAGTTGTAGAGATGAGTCAGATACAGCGTGATACTGCATTTATAAGTTTTTTCTAACACAAGACATCGCCCCGGTCAATCAACAATGACCCAAAAAAATGTGATACTGAGCGTGCACAACATGATTTGTTGTCTATTTAATACCTAGTACGAGTCTGGACTCTTGAGCTCACGGTTGTGCCAGCGAACGACTTGCTGACTGTGAGTCGCGCTCATCATGATTACCGGTTTGTGAGAGTGCGCACCAAACATTCGAGTCATTCCGAATCAGAGATAGTAATAGTATTGCGCATGTGGAATAGAGAAGACATTGTATTTATGTTCACCGGTGCCTCCTTGAAACGCGGATCGGAAACAGAAGGAACAGAAGAGGATCGGTGCTGCCGCTGAAAAAGTTTGAACATCGCGGGGCGATTGTTCCCGTTGCACGCACGATCCTGGGACAACCGGGCGGGACAAAATACAAAATTCGTTACGTGGTGTGAAGTGCAATATATATGCGAGTATAATCGCGGTACAATAGGAGGTGTGAGCGAGAGCACCATGTATACAAGTATGCGTGAGGCGTGAAAGAAATAAGCACAAGAGCGAGGGGGGGACAAGGACGGGGATCGAGGCAAAGCGAAGACACAATCGAAGAGCTGACATGAGAAATTCCAACAACCGATAGATACATTGGGCACAGGCCGCAGATGCTCCTAGCGCAACGACGGCCTCGTCCTCGTCAGGGACTTCTGCATGGTTATTTTCTGGTGGCAGAGGAAGGCGGAGATACAGCAACTGGCCTCGAGTTCGCGGCCTTGGGTATATGCATAAAAGAGAGACAAACGCATCGAGCCGGGTGTTTATAACACAGCGACTACGCGTGTCTTCACCTCCCACAGGAGCGCTCTGAGGCAAATCATTCATGTTGTCATCTGATAACATCTTCATTATCCCCGTGATCCATTTCACCCCCTCCATTGTCAAGGCGGAGAGATCATCGGTCATCGATCAGGGGTGAACCTTTGAGGCGGTGTCATAGGACTTTGCATTTGGTGTTGACGGTTAAGAAGTCGGTCGAGGCTTTTGAGTCTTGACAGGCTGATAGATCGTAGTCAGTTGTAGTCCTTCGTAGTCTTGGTTTATTTCCAATGTCACCGATTCCGGTCGTGATGGGTGTTCACAAGTTACGGTCTGTTACGGTTGACTTGAATCGACTCCTTCTCCTGACTATGATGGTCTCCATCGTTACCTACCTCAATTGCCATCGCTATTCGGTGGAAAACCAGCTCGCGCGACAGCTGTCGAGTCCATGCTGTGGTGTCGTTGGGTGGTCGAGGTGGAAGGTAGCGGGCCCTGCCCCAAGGCTGAGGCATCGCTAATTTTGTGAAAGCTGTGAACGTTCAAGTTTGTGTGAACAAGGTCACACCCAATGATTGGCTATTGCTTTGTGAGCAGTCCCATAACGGGTACCCATCCCCGACCACACTGAATGGGTAACATGCGTGGCATTCTGCTCTGCAGCTGGCATCTTTGTTGATGGATAAACTTAACCTGGCCCTTAGGTCAATTCATTAATTTGATGTGGGCTGACAAGGACGCCGGTTGGAAAAACACAGCCGCCAGTCTGACGTACGTACATAAACTTGGTTCGGGAAGTTAAAACTCCTTCGTACCCATAACCAAGTTGTATTGGCTCACTCGTACTTCGCCAGTCACTCTTTTACTATTTTCTGTGTTTTTCGACCATACCCTTTCAGTGAGTCGCGACGTGTTCGTTGTTGTGCCTGAGTCATTGAGAGCGTAACCGTTAACGTTGTCAACCTCCAGTTCAACTTGAAACCAGTCTCCAACTTGAACTCCTTCACGGCGTACCAAAAAAAACATGTTTGCTGCCCTCGCGTTTGCTGTCCTGGCCTCAACCGCTGCTCTATTCGTACATGCAGATCCAGACCCAACCAATCCTGGGCCTGGAGATGTCTTCATTGAAGGCCAGGCCTGCACTATGACCTGGACTCCGGATACCACTGGCGTGTGGAAGACTATGATAATTCAGTTGAAGACGGGAGACAACTTCAACATGGTCAACTTGACCAGTACGTTCATATACTCGGCCGTGAGATGCTGACTTCAATTGTTCACAGCGGTTGGCACTGTTGACGGAACGGACGCGACGAAGACCTCATTTTCTTATCCTTGTCCTCAGGTTGGTGGTAGTGTTGTTTAATTCTTTTACACGCATCGTAATCGTATTTCTTCAGGTCACACCCCACTCGCCTATCTACTTTTACCAGTTCTCTTCTCCAGCTTCCAGCAACAATTCCTGGACTGGACGATTCACGATCACTGACACCGCAAGCGACATCGTTCCTGCCGCTAACAGCACTCAACCCGACGGCTCGGCTATTCCTTGGGGTACTGGCAAGCTTGTCAGTTCAACTTCGAGTACCTCCGCCGTTGCTACGGTGTCAGCTACTACAGATTCTGCACTTGGAACACCGAGTGCTACCTCTTCAGTATGTAACGTTTCAAATAATGCTGGTCTCACCGGTAGCGGAACAGATTCACTCACCAGTGATGTTTAGAGCATCAGCACCAGTTACGTCACTGTATCTCCAGCTTCGACGCCATCCGCTGGTTCGCAAGCAACTGGCGGCGGACTTGGCCTCTCCGCGCAAAGCATCGGCTGGAAGACTGCTTTAACCCTCGGCGTCTCCGCACTGGGCTTTGCTTTGATGCTTTAGATTCATGACCTCACGATGACAGACATTTACTTCATGTTATCACAGCATGCCGGATACTCGTCTCTACTCGCAAGTCTCCTAGTCATTCATCTCGTTGTACCTGTTATTTAACTTTCGGGGGTTCTGCGGCATGTATGCCCATTAGGGCACATATCCTGTCACTTTAACTGGGGTCGTTCTCTGTCGGTATTTCATTCTTCGTATTTATACCGCAGCCAATACTACCTTATTTCTAAATTACAGCGAAACTTTGGATGTTTCTTTTGCTGTGATCTTCAAGCCAGTGGTGACGTTCGATCGTATGGTACTGATGACTTGCTGGTTTCAGGGACACATAACCGCTGAACCCAAGCTTCAAGGGTCGCAAAGGCAGTACGTCTCTAACATCCATAACTGGGTCCGCATCTTTCATTTGCGCTCAGCCACTGACACCCAGTGCTCACGTTTTCTTTCAAGGTGAGGCCTTGATCAAGCTCATCGCCTTTCTAACCCTGTGGCGAAAACCTGCATGGGTACCTTAATTCGCCACCAGTCTACCATGTGTTGAATTAGTGGTACTGACAGCCCTATGAGCCATCAGAGCTATACTGCTTTCTGGTCGCAACTGTGCCCTCAGATGGCACGAACAAGTCTTGCAATCGAAGGGCGTGGGTGAAAGGTCGACGGCTGAGACATTTCGCATCATGTCGGGGGCAATTCAATTGGAAAACGAGAAAGTTACGTGGTGCGTGATTTCAGTACTTGAAGGAGTCGAGCTTTAAATTAACAAACTATGAAGATTGGGGTTCTTCCGCTCTTGGAAGCGCCAGCAGTGTTGTTTTTAACTCTGCTTCTCATACTATCATTCCCTGTAATATGTCCACGGTTACTAATATGCAAAAAGTTCATAGCACTTCAACATCGTGCTTAAGTGACATTGAAAAAATTCAAGGATGCGCAGAGTACCTATAAGTGATGTTTTGTAAAAGTAGAATAAAAGATTTTGGAATATTGCAGCTGCGAGAGATGAAATAGTGGTGTTTTGAAACCTTCTCCCAACACAAATCATCCAGATCCCGAAGATCCTGCAAAGGTATTTGTAAAATTTTACCTAGAGCACAATGAACACCTTCTAGGGATGTCAGAAAACCAATTCGATAAAGGCTACTCTCTTGCGCTGAGGTGCTACAGTGGTAGAATCAACGACAAGTACAATAGCGTGACACAGGACAGGGGAGATGTGTAAGTAATTCAAACTCCTCCTCGGCATACAGGTATTCCCCCCCGTATGAACCGATGCCAGCATCCTGCGGAGAGCGAAAGTTGACTGTGCGGCTACTGTGCCGAGGTGTGACAGGACGTGACAAAATGTTGCAGATTAGAGAGTAGACCCTGAGTTTTATCGGGTTTGTTCCGACATCACACCACATCATCCTAAAAATCAGTAAAAATCAGATCCATGTAGAGGAGATACAAATCTATGACGGAGCAAATTTGCGAAAGAAAACGTGATGTTGCTGAGGAGCTACAAAAGTTTTGCTGAAAATTTTGCATGTTATAGGGAATGATAGTAAAGTCTGGGCTTTGAATCGAGACTACATATTTCTTACCGCATATCCGAACTAAACGTACGAGGCTCCGAGTCGGAGTTCGGGACATCCTCGCGTCGCATCAATGGGGTTATCAAATAGTATCAGACCCGAGTAGTAAGGTCGATAAATATGTGACCGACTTAGGCCCAGGCTGGAACCGCCCGAGTCAAACTTTACCGGTGTCGACGTCAGTATCGTGTTCAACGCGACACACCAAAATTTCTGCGGTAGCTATGTCAGACCCTGTCGCTTCAAAGTCTGGCTTCCTATGCACATACATGAAGAACCATCCTGATGCGTTGATTGCATACGTGAAATATTTTGGGAAAGTCGAGGGTGATGTGCTTACTGTTGAGATGTCTGACATTGACTCAAAGGCAAGCCTGGCTATGCCAGATATGCCGTGCTCTGACGGTAATGAATCCACCAGGGCATGATACTTGTATACAAGCTCAAGTCTGGACCATCAAATACGATTCGGGTACCATTTGATCCACTGCTTTCAGGGTACGATCACGTCAAACCTCGCCTTTCGAGTATGAAGGCAGAGGCGCTGGAAGGTCTTGGTATGGTACATGTTCCTATGCCATATTTCTTTCAGTCTGCTTGTTTCTGATACATCCCCTTTAGCTCAAAGCTCCCCAATTGACTACATTCCGCTTTCCTCCCAAAGCTGCCATAACACCATTCGTTTTCCTCGCGTATTTTTATCTCCTTTCACCGCCACCCCCTGGCACAACATTCCTATCTATCCCTGTCACCAGTATGGATGCATTCTTCTCCCCAGCGCGCGCGTTTAGAGACCTCACTGGTCTCGGTTTTCCATTTCGAACTCTTTGCATAATACTCGGTGCCGTTCACGCAGTTGAAGGACCGTATACCTGGTCACTTTGTAGGCGTTTTGTGAAAGGCGCTGTAGTGACGGTGAGTTTATTTCACGAGTCCTTGAGCCTTGCGCTTTAACTTTTACGTTCAGGCTACTTATGTGGGCTGTACTTTGTTGTTCGGATTACACATATGGACAGACCTCAAAAGACGCGTTCATCAGAAACGCGTCGAAACCGTCACGAAGTTTGAATAATATCTCTGGATTTGCAACTCGCGCAGATATGTAACTCGGGGTATCGAGTTACAGGGTATTTGGGTGGGTGATATTGAGGATCTGGGTACATTTTCCTTTCTTTCTTGTTATTAATTAGGTATTGAGCAGTGTCAGTCAGTGCTCTTCGGGCATATATCGTGTCAGAACCTCAAGACTTGGCATAACCAGTCTGACTATACTATTTGAGATTAAAGGAGTCGCACCACTCGACTTTGAATTGTCTGTGCTAGTAAGAACTACTCAATGTACGAGCCCTACGCAGATGTCGAAGTCAAAGTTGGAACAACCGGAGAACTTCTAAATGCGGATATGTTGAGAGCCTGACAAACCCACTTTTAGCCACATCGTTCTCTGCCAGCTGCTGTAATGTTTCGATTTCTTAAAATCTGTGATCACGACCTGTACGAGGTTTCAAACGAACCGTTATTTACACCAGATCATAACAAAGAAGGACACAAGGGGTCAACGACCATCCTATAGATCTTTCTTCTATTTGGGCTGCCGTCTAACATGTCACTCTAGATCTAGAGTAAAGCGAATGCACCATCGCCGTATCTCTATCTGGAAAGGCTTATCTTAAATCACCTGCGAGCCAGCCTTCCGCCATACGTTCCGTTGCCTTTCCTTGGCAAGGGTCATGTGAGTTGGACATAAGCTGGACATGGGACTCCTTGTATGTTCTTCATATATATAGCGCTGCGTTGCAATTCTCACCATGATTCGGACTTAACGACTCCCCTGTCGATACTGTTTGACCTCATAGCGATAACGCGCACCTATGCCTAGAAAAATTCTTGCTGGATTCGGCGTGGATGTTGATGCCGTAGCTGGTTGGTACGTTGTTTTCCATTCGCATATGATAAGAATCAGCAATGGAAGTTATGATGCAGGCTTGGGTCCTATGGAGGAGAAGATTCTCCATTGGATATTTCACGAGTATGGTCACGTTGCCTTTTTTTATATGATTGGGAGCTCAAGTGATGCAGGGAATGTACGCGGGAGAAGTTGGAGTCCCTCGTCTTCTGAAGTTATTTGATAAGTATAAGATCAAAACAACCTGGTTCATCCCCGGTCAGTGGGCCCTAAGTTCAATGCTCTCAGGACACGATGAATTGATGAATCGCATTTATAGGCCATAGCTTGGAGACATTTCCGACGCAGATGGAAGCAGTTCGAGATGCCGGTCATGAAATGTAAGCTTCCTTCAATGTGGAGATGTCTTATCTTTCCCGTGTTCTCATGTCATGCCCAGAGGTCTTCATGGATATTCCCATGAGGTAAGTGGTGATGGTATCAATATTGGGCAAGGAACTGAATATTTCAAAGAACCCTGTCTCTATGACTCTGGAACAACAACGTGATATCTTGGACCATACCTTTCAACTTCTTACAGAATTCAATCATGGCGTTCCTCCAAAGGGCAGCGTCGCTCCTTGGTGGGAAACCAGTAAGGAGGGGACGGCGCTGTTGCTAGAAAAGGGCATTGAATATGGTCATTATACATACTACTCGTTTCAAGCAAGGTATTGACATCATTTTAACAGACCACTCCAATATGTGTCACGAGTAAGTCGGTACATACTAGTCCTAATTACTCATACTCACATTCTCCCAGTTCGCAGATGTATTATCTTCGCGACGAAGATACATGGACAAAGATTGATTATCAGGCGAAAGCTCACACGTGGATGAAGCCGCTGCAAAAGGGCAAGGAGACTGGGCTCGTTGAGATTCCGGGTAACTGGTTCGTCAAATACACCGCCGGTGTTTTCCATACTGATTTGGTGCTGATTATACACACGGTAAGGTACCTTGACGATCTTCCCCCCATGATGTAAGACGCGAGTCGTGTGCAAAGTCAACAAGCTGACGCATTTCAAGGTTCATCAAATCGAGCTCAAACTCGCATGGTTGGGTATGTCAACACATTTGAAAACCTCCTCGCGTCTATTCATGTATCCATCAGGTCAGCACTCAAGCTGTCGAGCAGCTTTGGAAAGACACATTCACGTACCTGTATAGGTAAGGATGAGATTACCGGATTTCAGTCTACTGTTGATTCACAGCGAATAGAGAAGAGGAGGATTTCGTATTTCCCATCAGCATCCACCCGGACGTTAGCGGGTCAGTCTTCACTCCTTGCCATTTGAGCGTTCTAACCTTGGTTTTTGGTCAGTCGTCCACACGTACTTCTGATGCTGGTATATTTCACCCAACGTGCTCCTTTTTCTCCAACTCATTGGTGGTCATAGGAGCGTTTCATTGAATGGATCAATACTCACGACGACGTGCAGTGGCTAACCTTCTATGAGATGACTCAAGAATTCAGAGCCAAACAGGACCCAGCACCAGGTGCCGTCATGCCCAAGGGCTTCAAGAAGGCATAAGCCCCGTCTGTACAATGCAGTACGTTTCATACAGTACATTCGTGTCAAGACTTCTTCAGGCGCGGATGAATATTTACGAGTCATTTGTATCAGTATGTTCAATCAACTTGTCCTGATAACTTCTATGTTCCGAAAGCTCCAGGAGATCTTTCACTGTCGATTGCAACAGTAGCTGGGCCCGATAAGCTCTTTCGACGAAAAGTACTGACCTTACTTAGTTAAGGTCGCAGTTACGATACTTGTGCGAATGGTCAGCACGTCCCTGTCCGTGACTTTTTTGACTTGCCTGAAGACAGGACAATGAAGACGGTAGACATTTGTAAATGATTTCTTCAACATTGAGCATACTACGGTCGCCGCCCATGTACATGCTCCCATACCGGATCCCTGGAACATTTGTGCTTGGATCGACATCGCCAGTGTCATTGAACCAGTTCCTGAGCACATACCTGAGCCCTTCAATATTACGATCATGTCCTGTCTTCCCTGCTCTGTCGTCAAAGCAAGGACATTCTCCCCGATAATCTTCTTAGTTGATGTGTGCATCACTGCTCCGCGATCAGCTGTGCCGATTCAATTCAATAGCTGTATATTCTTTGTCAATATTAATGGTCTTCAACTCGCGAGGTATATCATCACTTGAGTCCAGAGGATTCAATCGTGTCACTGTGGAGTTGAGCATGGTGTCCCCGTTGTTGACGCTGGCTTTTCTGGCTTTCCAATCATTATGGTCGAAAGTTTGCCAACCTTGCCAAGGCTCATTTCGGCACAAGAACTTGATCTCGGATCTGTTGTGTAATCGCGACTGGATCCTATTAGTGTAAAATGTTTTATGTAAACAAACCGCCAGGCTCGATTTCACGGTGTATCCATGGCAGTGACTCCCAAATTCAACCATCACCATCATCATTCATAGCTTACACAGTGCGGAGATTTAGCGACAGTTAGGACTCCCCAGGCAATATCTTTGCAATGGTCATCAACTCCGCCCATCTCTTGTCTTCTGCCCACACGATGCTTTGGTCCTCCTGCAAGGTCAGAGCTTCATCAAGCCCATGCGTTGGCTTGCCCTGTTGCTCGAGGGCAGCGATCTCCTTGTCGAATGTATCGAGCCATTCAAGGGCCTTCTGCGTCTGTGGATAATTCATGCTCGGAATACGGAGAGCCCAGAAGCAGCGATCAGTTGCATGCGTTACCCATCCTGTTGCACAAGCTTCAGTATTCATCCGCTCATAAACTTATAGACACTGATGTACCTTTTGGACGCAGTTGTTCTGGAGTCCAGCGAATTGCATATCTGAGAATTGGAAATCCGACCTGTTGGAAATCTCTTGCGAACATCCTCACGGGGATGTGTACCTGTCCATCACTTAGAATATCTCCCATGTGCCTCATCGATTCTTCGACAGTTGCTGTACTCGGGAGCGTCCGATACTTGCTGACGAGCTTCTCAACAACGGGACGCGGGAAGTACCGCAGAACGTTAGGGAACACATCCTGTGGACCTTGAACCGGGTGCGCGATAGCGTAAAGGTACCACTCTTCGCTCAGATCGCCGATAGAAATGCTCTTGACTCCTTTCTCGCGCAGAGCACGAGCAAGGCCTCCCGAGCGTTGCCAGGTCATCGGGTCGGGTGTAGTAGGGATCCAATCACCATCAAGACATCCTCGGTACGTGCCGTGCTCGACACCAACTTCGTCTGTCTCTATCACCCTCATTATGGCTTTGATAGGAACTTTGGCGGGGTCTCTGAGAGTCTCTAAAGTGTCAGGAGCATTAGGATCGAGATTGAGGGTGCGGCAAAGGGCATGGAAGGACGGCCTCAGCTCCAACAGGGTTTTAGGGATGGTCCTGCGGGTCATGAGTGAGTTAACAGTAAGCTATGAAAGTAGCTCACATCATTGCGTTTGATTGCAGCTGAGCGGAACGGAATGGGGAATTCTGCCCTGGTGGCAGGTGTGAAAGGTGGTGCAAGATTTGGTGTACGGCATGTGCACCTGTTGCTCATTGGCAAAGCTGCGAGTTCAAATGAGAGTCCTCACTCACCAGCAGACAGCCCAGAAAGGTGGACATTACTCGGGTCACCTGCACATAACATCAGGATATCGACAAACTCTGGGATGTCGGGCGCTCAAGCTTACCTCCGAATGATGCAATGTTCTCCGAAATCCACTGAAGCGCTAGCCATTGATCTTTGAAGCCAAAGTTTCCGTCTATCTTGGGCTCATCGCACGCAAGGAAACCAAGCACTGAGAGCCTATAGCCAATGTTGATATGAATTTCCTTCCTTATCTCGGCCACATATTGGGATTGGCAGCTCAAGCCATGAGGCGAACCAAATTGAAGAAATCTGTGACAATGGGTCACTGAGGGTTACGGGTCTATGCACAACATACCCTCCGTGAATGTATACTTTGACTGGAATATTCGCTCCAGGTTTAGATGTCGAAGGGCACGCAATATCGACGTAGAGGCTGAAGAATGAAAGTATTTGAATTAGAGATGAAAACGGTTTCCTGAATTACTCACGGGTCCTCTGACGGGTTTCCGTAGCCCTTACGATCAACCGGTGCTGTCGCTGCGCCCTGTCCATCATTGGAAGGCTGAACACAGTCTAAGGCAATTCCGTCTTGCAATGAAATACAAGAGTTTGATGATTTGACATACGCTTAGTTTCATAAATGTAATCCTTGTCTTCATATCGATAATCGGAAGGCAAAGGTTTTGGGTCCTGGAAACGAACGGGTGGCAATGCGTAGGGCACCTCTTATGTACCTAGTTCAGTATGTGAATGCGATGGATCTGGTTGATAACCTCACCTAAGAACACTGAAGCGCCGTTCGTGGTTCTGCCACCCTTGATGGGACCGTACTTCGTCTCAACGACGACACTCACGCCCTTCTGCAGCTCATCAGGGATGTGGGGAATAGGTGGGACAGCCATGCTCGGAGTGAAAGTGATAAGTCGACTTGAGAGATTCAAGTTGAATTTGGCAGCGGAAGCCTGGACAATCTTCTTATAGGATCCATGATAGTACGGACGAGCATGTGCCACTGACCTAGAATACGCATGATTGATCACGGGTACTTGGTGGGAGCTATTAACCAATATTCAGGCTACACAGATGAGTGAAGCGGAATGGTTCGGAACGCCTTATACCCTCTTGTGCTTTGGCTTGGTAAGTAGTTCTAGTGGCTATCATGATAGCCTATTTCGGCGAACCTCCTATTGGCCTCTGTTAGCTAGACCGCGGTTGCTTATCATTCGTCACATAACTAGTATGTATATAGCAATAAGCGCTACTAGTAGAGCTTTTGACTTCATGAGTGATTTTCGACTAGCTAGCGTGTCAGAATCAATTCTACTACAGCCGTGCTTTATATTTCACATATCCCTTTGGCATCACAGCACCTGGAGGGGGGTCGTTCTTCGCCCTAAAACTTTCTGCCATCTCATGATATGTAACCCACTTCACGTTGTCATGAGCATTAATCCATTCGATGAATCGTTCCTAGACGTAGGAATGCATGTTAGGCACGCTTGCATGTCATTGGAACTATCTCTCACCAGCATGAGTAGTACCTGCGGACGTCTACACCGAATCAATCAATTGTTTGAATGCAAAAGCAATGTATGAGGCGTACCCGCCCACGTCCGGATGGATACTTAGCGGGAAAATGAAATCTTGTTCTTCCCTGTAAAGATACGTGAAGGTATCTTTCCAAAGCTGCTCGACAGCTTGAGGAAGTACCTGAGCGTTATCACGTCAGTAAACAGTTTGAAGAATTGAAGCATATTCTGCTCAGACTTGCCCATCCATGAGAATTAGAGCTAGCCTTCATGAACCTGAGTTTTGCTTTAATGAAACACGCTTTTCCATGAAGCATGAAACGCACATCATCGGTGTCATGTCTTCGAGGTACCTTTCATGGACATTTGAGTTCTGACTGATCACTCTGGAAGGGAACATCATCACCAGCTAGCAGGTATTTCAACGAGACCTGTTTCTTTCCCCCTCTTAAGAGGTTTCATCCACGTATGCGCCTTCGCCTTGTAGTCGATTTTAGTCCACGTATCTTGGTCACGAAGGTAGTGCGCCTGAGAACTGCATGCAAAGTTAGTCAATCCAAACGGGATATACATATTCCAGATCCTTACTCGCGAGACATATTCGAGTGATCTACAAGGAAGCATAAGAATGACCCAGCATCATGTCACAACCTGTAGGCATACCGTACTCGATTCCTTTCTCTAGGAGGAGGGCGACACCTTCCTTGCTTGTTTGCCACCACGGTGCCACATTGCCCTTTGGGGGTACTCCATGGTTGAAATCTGTGAGCAGTTTGTAAGTGTGATTAAGAATGTCACGTTGTTGCTCTGGCGTCAATGAATCTGGATTCTGTGTAGCATTGGATGAGCCGTCTGAATCCAGTTGAATTAAGTGTGTGGAAGTACCTCATGTGAATAGCCGTGGAGTCCGCTAGGTAGCTATCAATTAACGGACATCGTGACACAGACACAAGACTTACATTTCATGACCTGCGTCCCTGACAGCTGCCATCTCTTTTGGGAACGTTTCCAAGCTATGGCCTGTACATCAATGATGTATATAAGCCCTTTAGTAAGTAATGTAACTCGAACTCACCTGGGATAAACCAGGTAGCTTTGATGTTGTATTTGTCAAGCAACTTCAGCACTCGTAAAACGCCAACTTCGCCCGCATACATTCCCTAAAAAAGGTCATTGAAAACACGTTTTACATCTCGAAAGCAATTAGATCATACACGAGATATATCTAGGGGCGAGTCTTCGCCACCGTATGAGCCTAGCCTAAAGTGGCCGCATAGAACAATCATTTCGGAGCTCACAAAGAGTGAAACTCACCAGCCAGCCACAGCGTCTACATCAACACCAAATCCTATGAGGATCTCTCGGGGCATCTTATCAGGTCAGTATTTCTGGTGAAAAAGGTGACGAGAAAGAGCTCTTTATATATCTTCAAAAAGACCAGAGACGTAGAAGAGATCTTGTGTTATGTGACCCCATGACCATGAGCTGTATCGCGGCTCGCTCTTGCCCCGATCCATGATGTAATATCTGCTGAGGCTTCCTACACGTGTAGGTTATCAAACCAAGTTGATAGAACGCTGATATATGTCATTCAATATTTATCCACGTGAAGAAGTCTCGACACGATGTACAGGATTTCACAGACGCTGTGCGAAGCCTTTAGGCATTACGGCACCTGGAACTGGTGCTTCTCTGGCTCTAAACTCTTGAGACATCCCGTGTAAGGTTACCCAGTGTACGTGATCGTGGGTATTGACCCATTCAATGAAACGCTCCTATATATCGTCAGTTTTTAAGAGAACAAGGAGCACGTTGGATGGAATATACCAGCATAAGAAGTACGTGTGGACGACTGTACCGAAAAAACTCAGAAACGTTCAAGTGTCAAAGAGAGGAGAAGACTGACCCGCTGACGTCCGGGTGGATCGTGAGGGGGAATACGAAATTCTCCTCTTCTCTGAGTGGTACCATTAGACAGTAGATTGCGACGCAGTTATGATGCTTACCTATACAGGTACGTGAAAGTGTCTTTCCAAAGCTGCTCGACATCTCGAGTATTGACCTGTCGGATACATGAATGAAACGCATCAGAAGTGCTTCAAGCGCGATGACACACCCAACCATGCGAGTTTGAGCTTGACTTAATGAACCTAGGCTGATGTTCAGTAGGTTGAACTTGTAGACAAGCCGCAGGACCTTACATCATTGGAGGAAGATCATCGAGGTACCTTTCCGAATGTACAAGATGCATGAAATCAATAGGAAAGACACTAGTGATACGATTGACGAACCAGTTAGCAGGAATCTCGACGAGTCCCGTCTCCTTGCCCTTTTGCAGTGGCTTCATCCACGTGTGAGCTTTCGCCTGATAATCGATTTTCGTCCATGTATCTTCGTCGCGAAGATAATACATCTGCGAACTGGAAGAATGTGAGTATGAGTAATTAGGACTAGTATGTACCGACTTACTCATGGGACATATTGGAGTGGTCTATTAAAATGATGTCAAAACATTGCTTGAAATGAGCAGTAATATATCGTGACCGTATTCGATGCCCTTTTCTAGCAATAGCGTCGTCCCCTCCTTGCTGGTTTCCCACCAAGGGGCGACGCTGCCCTTTGGAGGAACACCATGATTGAAATCAGTGAGAAGCTTGTAGGTGTAGTCCAAGATGTCACGTTGTTGTTCCAGAGTCATAGAGACAGGGTTCTTTGAAATACTCAGTTCCTTGCCAGATATTGATACCATCACCACTTACCTCATGGGAATATCCATGAAGACCTCTGGGCATGACATGAGAGCATGAGAAAGATAAGGGTCTCCACATTGAAGGAAGCTTACATTTCATGACCGGCATCCCGAACTGCTTCCATCTGCGTCGGAAATGTTTCCAAACTATGACCTATAAATGCGATCCATAAATTCCTCGTGTGTTGATAGCATTGAGCTTAGGACTGACCGGGGATGAACCAGGTTGTTTTGATCTTATACTTATCAAACAACTTCAGAAGACGAGGGACTCCAACTTCTCCCGCGTACATTCCCTGCATTACTTGAGCTCGCAATTATACAAAGTCAGCGTGACCATACTCGTGAAATATCTAACGGAGAGTCTTCTCCTCCATAGGATCCAAGCCTGCATAATGGTCCTTGGCGCTGATTCTTTTTATGATCAAACGGAAACAACACACCAGCCAGCCACAGCGTCAACATCTACGCCAAATCCAACGAGAACTTTTCTAGGCATTAGGTATTCGTGGCTTGCTAGGAGAGTCAGACAGTGTTGACAGGGAGCCGTCAGGTCATAGTCATGGTGAGAACGTCGATGGAGCAATATATATACGAGGGAACATACAGTCCCATGACCCTTGCCAAGGACCGGCAACGGGAGGTGCGGCAGATGCTTACTTGCAAACAATCTAAAATAAGCCTCGTAGATAGTTGGACATGGTGATGGATTTACCTCAAGAGCGTGGGTCTCGAGTTTTGATTGAATTCGAGAATTTGCATTGTGCTGCTGCAATCGCACAAATTGCAAACGTTCGGCTGAAACTAGCGCATCTGTTCGCCGATTCTAAGAGACTTTGTAAAGACTGTGTGATGACTGTGTGATGTTACAGTACTAGTGTGCTTACCGTTGCAGTTGAACGTCGCGCTCTTCCGAAAAGCGTTCAAGTTGGATTAAGTTAGCAGTAGTGGCTGTGCACTGTCTAAAACATATCCATATTTAGTAGCTCTCCTTGAGCTCTCCAGTGTTCAACGTTCAACTTCTCTTACAGACATTTTGTGGTAGAAGATATCGCCATGTCAGCTAGTGACTCGAACATAAGCTCAACTGCCTGCGGTGCTGTGTTCACTGGTGGAGTCCTTTACATAATTTCTTCATCGAGCGTGCGCGACAGCGTGCCTCTCGTTATCCGAACCCCCCAAGCATGACGACACGTCACTGTCAAGAGATAAGTGTATTTTTACTACTACTAAGTGACCCATGTCCTTCATGGCCAGAGGCTATTTCCCAGATGATGATCCGGTAAAGACACAACCGTAACTTACTACAGGAAGCGCCCATGCTCTTATCTCCAACAAGTTGACTAATATATTTACCGTAACAGAAGTGTAAGAACCTAGCACTCTTTTGGCGTCAAGTCTGCGGTTTATTGATACAATGTCCATCAGCGAGAAGCAGGCTGAAATCAGTGTCAACACTGCCAGTGTCGGTGGCTACCACACTCCACTACGCAATGCAGACGATACACTACTCGCTGAACTCGGCTACAAAGCTGAATTCAAGCGCGAGTTCTCGGTCAGTCCCTCCTTAGCAACCACTTGTAGGCTATGTGGAGCGAATTCATTTTCTGTCCAGATGATCGAGACAATTGCTTTCGCCTTCTCAATTATGGGTGTGGTGGCTTCTGTAGCATCAACATTCTCATTTCCATTGGTCTCAGGTGTGTGCCTACTCTTTGGCAGTCACGAGCATATGACGAGGTCCATAGGTGGTCACGTTGGAATGGTCTGGGGATGGCTGATCCCCTGTTTCTTTGTGATGGCGGTCGCATCTTCCATGGCGGAGCTGGTATCATCAATGCCGTAAATATCTTTATCTTTATCACCTTCCACAATACTCAGTGGGACTTCACATGCGTGTCTTCGCCCAGGACTTCTGCGGGCCTCTATTATTTTTCTGCTAAACTCGCTCCTCCGAAATACTCTGCATTAGCGAGCTGGATCACAGGTTGGCAAAAGACTTTTATAAATTAAATACATCTCACCATGGGGTTTTAGGATGGGCCAATATCACGGGCCAAGTTACTCTCGTGTGTTCCATCGACTTTACATGGTTCGTTAATACAAGCAGCACTACACTTCCTGTGACTTAACTTTGTACAGTGCACAGATGATTACTACCGCGATTGCGGTGAGCTCTGATGGAGCAACGATAGTGAGCTCCGGTGCTACGTACGGCATCTTACTTTTTATTCTATTTACCCATGGCCTGGTGTGCTCTGCTGCCACGAACGTATTGGCTCGCTTGAATCTGTTTTATGTCATCGTCAACGGCAAGTATTGGTTTACAAGGTGTAGATGAACTTCCGGATCCCATTTTCTTCAAACAGTTGGTACCACCATAGCCGCCATCATTGCACTACTTGTTTGTTCTGGTGACAATAAGGTATCCACAACGGATGCCTTCACTATGTTCGAGAACAACACAGGATGGAGCAACAGTGAGCACTAGCTCGTCATCTGAGGGTATTGACTGACCGCGTGCACAGACGGATGGGCTTTTCTTCTCGCTTTCACAGCGCCAATGTGGACGCTCACGGGCTGTGAGTAGGCAGATGTCGTCTGCGGATGTACTATTGACTTCATAAAACTCCAGATGACTCCGCTGCACACATCTCTGAAGAGGTAGCCGGTGCTCAGCGTACAGCACCCATTGCAATCCTTGTGGGTGTATTCGGGACACAAGTGCTGGGCTGGCTACTCTTCATTGCCTGCTCCTTTGCCACGGCTTCAGTGACCAACTTGTTGAGTGGTGTCTTACCGCTTCCCATGGGTCAGCTCTTTCTTGATGTACTTGGCAAGAGAGGGATGCTGGCAATTTGGAGTTTTATCATTGTTGTCCAGGTACGGTCAAAAATCATCTCGATCTGTTTTCGCTTGAATCATTGGTTAGTTCGTGACGGGAGCTGCACAAGGAGTTGATGCATCTCGTGTCGTCTTCGCGTTTGCGAGGGATAACGCCCTCCCTGGCTCTCGTTGGTGGAAGCGGATCAATCGGCGCACGCAAACTCCTGTAAATGCTGTCTGGTTGGTCATGGCTGCCGCCGCCGTCTGCGGCTTGTTGGGCTTCTCCGCTGCAGCACTTTCATCACTTGCAGGGTACGTTGGAGGACTTCGCTTTGTAAAGTTTTTATCCTCAGGAATTCTCCGCGTTCCAGGGCCTCTGTCATCGGCTTGTACGTGTCTTATGCAACACCTATCTTCCTTCGTATCACATCGGGCCGTGATAAGCTAGTCCCGGGCACATTCAGCCTGGGAAGGTGGTACATGCCTATTGGGATCATAGCGGTTGCATGGGTATCCTTTATTGTTGTCTTATTGCTCTTTCCCCCCACACAAACAGCCACCCCGGCAGGGATGAGTACGTATATCTACCGATTCTGACCTCGATTCGGTTGCTGACAGGATGTTACAGATTACGCTGTCGTGATTATCATGGGTGTTTTCTTCTTTGCGTCTATCTCTTGGATCGTTTCAGCGCACAAGTGGTTCCATGGCCCGATCAAGAATGTTGATGATTCCAGATCGTCTTTAGAGGGGAAAGAGCTTTGAAAGGTGATATTTAGTTCGTTGTTATCGAAGATCCGTAGATACTAGTGACGTGGGTATGGGATACGCCAGACATGCACAGGACTGTATTGCTTCTCTGTTTCAATTGAGTAGCTTCCACAGGTGCAGAGCACAACATTTAATTATTTACATTTGATAAGATGTATGTACTATGTAAGTGCACTTATTTCGTTCAAAATCAAGAATATAGAGTTACCAGCATCTCGAAGACGGGCCACCAGTGCGCTCGGACGTGTTATCCGGTGTACATACTAGTAACCAGGATTCATCCTCAGAGCCGTCAGTGTCTTACTCAAGGCCGAGGTATTACATGTGCGGCATGTGTACAATGCAAATTTTACGTGCCCCCAATGCCTCCAATTTTTTTGGGTGAACCATATCCCGTATCTGCCGGCAGGCCCCTAAGTACAAAAACAAGGGACCTGGTACGAGTGACGTTTTTAAGCCCGCGGCCAGTATGTAATGCAACACGTATCGAACCGCATCCATCATGACACATGAGGCATATGAAAGCATGGCAAGATATTGAGGGGTGCCCTGGGGTGTCATCCACTCATCTGATTTCGTAGGCAATGTCAGGGTCCCCTGGAGAGAAAGTTCCCTATAAGTTCACGGAAATGATGAGTCACGCGTGATGCAGTGGTGCCAAGATTGAATTACGGATGGGCAAGTACGTTAGTATACAACGTAAAAGTTACTGTCTTACATGTATGCCATGCGGAACTACTGAACGTACATTCTGGATACTTGGAAAATGTAACAAGAACAGTTTTATGCTGCGGACTAAAGCCTCAAGGAACGGCTGTCTTCCTACGACTCGGATCCAATGTCAAGTTTATCTTCCCAACATTGTGACAAGTAATCAAATCGCGCTGATCTTTATGACCTTCCTTTTCGGGGTAGCAAACTGCTGATCCTCCGAAGACCACAATACTTATTCACAATTGCTCGACGGCGCGAGTACCATATGATAGATATTTTACACGACTGTGATTGGATATTTATCTGAAAACCCTATCCAACGATTTCGTACACATTGCGAACGCAAATAGTGATGACTCTACGGCCAACGGCATTTGATGTGAGACTAAACTAATAATGCATAGATGGAATCTCAAATGAAGTAGGGAAATGAATACCAAGAAATTATTTCGCTGCTGAGGAAAACAGCTAACCTGATCTGAGGTAAAATCAGTCTTCTCGCCTAATTCGCGACTTTACCCAAGGGGGTTTTTGCCATGACGCTAATGACCTCGAACAGTACCTATGAAGCTAGGATTAAAATGGTCCAGAAGTTTGACGGCGTCACGTACGTCGGCTGCGGCCATGGTCGTAAGCTCTGCATTGGTATCATATGCAGGAGCAACTTCAACAATATCGGCCGAGACAATGTGGAGGCCATCCAGGCCTCTGAGGATGGTGCGTAACTCGCGTGTAGACCAGCCTTCCGACAACTGAGTTTATCATATAGATAATGTTGTACGTACTCACCACCAGTTTCTGGGGTGCCCGTCGCAGGAGCAAATGCGGGGTCGATTGAATCAATCTGCAATGAATTGATTGATAACTCGGCAGCGAGATGAAATGCCAACACACATCGATGGACAGATAAACGGGTCGGTCGCCGACGGTCTCCCGAATCTTTTTGATAATTCCGTCAGTGCCTAGAATGAGACGGTCAGATAATGAATAATGATAAATGGACAGCTTTGTTCACCTATGGTGTCGATCTCACGGGCTTCGATTCGTTGGAAGCCAGAGGCGTCGTCATTTGCATAATCGGCTGGTCCGGATAGCGTGGTCCTGATGGCGCCATGCTAGATTCGATAGCAAACTAGGATCAAAGTATTCGGTGATAGACGGGGGGAGAAAGGAATAGTGGAAGGTAAGGAAGTAAGATACTTGCAATGGAGCTTCCGTTCTTAATCAGACCCTCCTGACTAGCCCAATAGAAATATGTGCCGTGGTTAATAGCGGCCTGATCGGAAGGGGCGCCTCCAAACACAGAAGGCTTCCAGGTGTCTAGGTGGGAGTCAAAGTGGATTACAGAAATTGGGCCATATGCAGAGTGAATGGACCTGGTGCGTAACATTGAGCACTAGTTGTAAATTACCCAATTACCCACTGAAAGGGAACGAACCTAAGCAAAGGCAGAACAATCGTGTGGTCACCACCAAGTGTGACTACACGTGGATGATGCTTTCCGTCGAGCGAAATTGGAACGAGGGGCTTGCCGGTGAGAGCGTCGTTGCCAAGCGGGGAAAAAGCAGGTCGGTGAAGAAGCTCCTTGTGCCCGCCTTCAATTTGCTGGATGGCAAACTTGTTGTCGTAGGGCGTGACTGGAATGTCACCGCAATCCACGATTTTTAGTCCAGAAAGGAATGGGTTGACCTCGAGGGGAACGTTGTATCCTCCATACAAGGTCAACCGACGAGATCCGGCACGAATACCAGCAGGCCCAAACCGGGCACCAGGGCGGTAGGATGTCCCTGTATCCTGTGCAAAACCCTCGAATAAACCTTTTGAATGAATAGAGATGCTATGACGTACAAAAGGGGCACCAATGAACGCGATGTCAAAGGTAGTATCTCGGTCCTTGCCAAGACACTGTACCCATGGGAGCTTCGCAAATGTGGTAATTCCAGAGAAAATGGAGTCCGCAGTCACTACCTTGCCGGTGAGCGGCAGTTAAAAGGGGAGATTTTACTCAAGTATACCTTCATCGTCGCCTGGATATGTGGCCTGGTAGGGATATTTGACATAATTCATAGGAATTTGGTCTTCATGGTGATGGTCGTGGGCGAGGCCCACGGCAGCGAACACCAAAGCGAACAGGGTGAAAGATTTCATCTCGGGGGAAACTTCTAGAGGGGAAGTTTTGGTGAGTTTCAATGAGCGTCAGGCCAACTAAAAAGCTTTTCTTGCGGGAAAAAATCGTATCCCATGACTCGCCATCACGCCACGAGTATCACAAAAAATCCTGGTTTCGTCCTGATAACATGACAGGTGCAAGACGATTTCTGCCATGAGGCAGAAAATTCAAGACCCCATCTGCCAGATGAATCTTATCAGGGACAATGAAATGGAAATGCATCGGAAAAATCGGCTCACAAAAATAATCCACTGGAGCTAGGATCAAACACGATGCAAGCCTCATTTCGAGAAGGATACATGTTGTCCCAGAGGATATCGAAAGGGAATCGGCATGGGACAGTCCGAGGTTCCGTTATATATTCCGTTGCCTCGGAATCCGCTATAAACACTGTGAATTGGTAGCGACTATTCACTAAGTCTCGCATCATGTCACGTACTATATCCCTGGATGAAGCGGCACCCCTTCTCCCCAACGCTCAGCGCACACAGCAGCAACTGAATGACCGTTCCCTTCAGAACCTTCCCGAAGTGGCAGGAGAGAACCGAACAATCGGGCCCCGCCTTCTGGCCTCGCTTGTCGTCGATTCAATTCCTGGTAGGCTAGACTTCGTCGGCGTCAAGAAGCATGTGCTAACAACCGATGTCCATCAGTCATCCTATCCTATATTTTACAGAATTCTATCCAGACAGTGTCTATTGTGATCACAGGCCGTCTGGGTCCAGAAGAACTTTCTGCGGCTGCATTTTCGATGATGTTGGCCTACGTTACTGGCGAGTAGCCCTTGTTTTTCTTTTGCGATGATGATCCCACGTCCTGTAGGCTGGTGCATTGCACTGGGAGGGGGATCAGCCCTTGACACCTTAGGCTCTCAGGCATTTACTGGAGGAAGTCATTCCACTGATCTGTCGGTGCATTTCCAGCGTTGCGTAGTGTTGCTCTGGATTCTTCTTATTCCCGTCGGCGTACTCTGGGCGTTCATGGAGCCTGTCTTGTTGGCTATCAAAGAGCCTCCTCGTCTTTGCAAGGATGTGCAAGATATTCTGAGGATCTTGTTGTTCGGCGCGCCTGGGTATATTGCTTTCGAGTCCCTCAAGAAATACCTGCAATGCCAAGGTCAGTCGCATGCTAATAAATCGTCCCTTGACTTACAAGCTATGCAGGAATTATGAAAGCCGCTACTTGGGTACTGATCATCGTATCGCCAATCAATATCGCCCTCAACATTTTCCTGGTTCATTATACTTCATTGGGCATGCTCGGCTGCCCTGTTGCGCTTTCCATCACATACTGGTGTGCATTTTTCCTCTTGATTGCAGTGACGTCGATGTCTTCTATGCACAAACAAAACGCTACATGGGGTGGCCTTCAACCCAGGGCCGTTTTCAATTTCGAGAGCTGCGTCGGGTTCCTCAAGTTGGCGCTCCCAGGAATCTTAATGGTAGGCACAGAATGGTGAGCCGCTAATGCCCCCGATTAAGGCATACCACTTACCCTGAACAGGGCTGCATTCGAAATAGTAGCCCTTGCGGCCGGCCGGCTCGGAGAGCTTCCACTGGCAGCACAGTCTGTTATCATGACCACCGACCAAAGTATGCATTTTCCTTACGCACCTTATCATTGATTAATCATACCCATAGTCATAAGCACGCTACCATTTGGATTCGGTTAGTGTGCAATCTGATGGACCATTCGTACGTCTAATGTCTCACCAGGGGTCGTCGCCTCAAATCGCATTGGAAACCTGATCGGGGCACGAACGGCCATCGGCGCAAGGAATGCAGCCCATGCTATTGCCCTTATCAGCGTCATCGTTGGTTTCGCAGTGATGATCGTCATGTTAACAGCCAGAAACGTACGTCAGCAATCGACTCGCACCGTATTTTTATACCAAACGGCAAATAGAAATTTGGCTATATCTTCAGCGACGATGAAGACGTTGTCCGGCTTGTCAGCAAAGTAATGCCTCTGGTCGCTTCATTTCAAGTGAGTACATTTCATGCGTGGTACCTACAAATTAAGAAAGTACCGTGAGATTGCCGACGGTCTGGCAAATTCGTGTGGTGGCGTCCTTCGTGGTCAAGGTGGGCGAGCATGTGTTAATGTGAAATGGGAAACTCACCTATGAGCACTTTCAGGCCGACAACACCTTGGCGCCATGTTCAATCTTATTGCATACTACATTCTTGCATTGCCGATCGGAATCACCCTCGCATTCAAGACTGATCTTGGCCTCCAGGGACTCTGGATCGGTGCGTATCCCGTACCTCCTGCAAAACTACTGCTCATCCTCATTCAGGTCAAGTCATCGGTCTCTTCATAGTAGGCCTATCTGAATATGGTGTAGTATGGCTTGGGACAAACTGGGACCGAGAGATACAGAAAGGAATTAAGAGGAACGCCGAAGAAGCGAAGCGAAGGGTGTTGGCTGAACGGATACGCCAGGAAGGCGGTTTAACGAATTGACCTGAGAGACTTCACAGGAGGCGAAAGACTGATAAAGAACGCGTGTTGGGATACAAACTTTGAATTCAATGGAAGGTGTGACGAGCGCTCGTCCCGTATCTGCAGAAAATGGGGGTTAAGCAGAAAATAGAACACGACTCATAATCAAATGTTTTCTGTCCATGAGCACGCGATATATGGCTTCCCCTCCCATCAAAAAACTGACCAAAGTACGAGAATGCCGACCCTTGGCGAGCACCGTGTGAGATTGGTGACATGTCCGCGGGTGACTTCAAACACGTTGGAGTAGAAGATGTCAATCACTTTTCAGTTGATCCAAGTTAATTACAGTTCATCCCTGACAGATTGCTCCGATGATGTTTGGAGGAAGTCTGCTGACCCATCCAATATGGACCTAAAGAACTTTGTCAACGGGTCATACTTTGTCATCCCTAGTAGTCACGTCTGTCAAGTAATCAAAGCCGTATACACAAAAGCACGCACCTTCATACAAGACCGCAACGCTGGACCCTGGTGGATACACAATGACCTTTGACGTCTTTCCCTCGACAGTCGCTGGGAACCCCAACGATGCCGCAAACGCGCCATCTGGATCTGTATGATGGCCAAACGCCATCTTCTTCCTGTAATTATTCGCAAAGACCTGCCAGAGCAGCGGAAACTTCTTGTCCTTATTCAAGAGAATGACACGTGGGAGGTCGCTTGTCTGTGGGGGATGCGCGAGGTCACACAAGGCAACGAGGCAGGAGATCAAGCTGAGAGCCGAACCTTGTCCAACCACGCTGGGATGCTGTGGATGTGCGGGAGGGATTGTACATTGTTGGGCACGGAGCGCGATGCCCAGCGGATGAACTTGCCAGAAGTACGTTCGCCGGAGTCATACGACTCAGGTGGAGCTTGGCTTCCACGAGGGAAGACTTTGAGTGTTGGAAACCCTTGGACACCCTGAACGAGTGTCAGATACGACTGTGTCGGAGCGCAATGTGATGCGCACCTGTTCTCCGCACAAACGCTTGTTCATCTCGGCATCACAATCTACTGCATAAAATGGGATGAGTGGGCTCAAGTTCTCGGCAGCCTTGCTGTACTCGGGAACCATCCGTTGGCAGTGCTGATGTGCTTGTTCGTCAGTTGAAACAAAACCATAATCTTGTAACTCACCCCGCACCACGGGGCAACAAACGCCACTACGCTCGTCCTCTGGTTGAATGAGAGCAATCAGTTTTAATGGAAGGAGAGACACAAGGTCGCCTACATTACTCCTCATAGCCCTACGAAAACCTTTTGGGTCCAGCATCTTTACCTTGGTGTCAGGAGGAAATATAGCTGCAGAGACTATTGCGGGCAATAGCGCCAGGAGGGTAGCTAGATAAAATATAAGCATTGCGAAATAGGCCGATGCTAACAAATAAACGAGCAGACGAGCCCGCCAGAGGGTATATCGAGTCGAAGTAGAGCGTGGATGTTAGTTATTATGTTACTGCTAAATGTGCCATAACGCGCTGCGTCGGGATTCGGGAAAACAACTGACGTGGCGTTCACGGGGCACCCACAGTCTCCCACCATCACGTGCCAGCACATGCCACAATTCCCTTTCAAACTTGGCGCTGGCCGTTTGAATAACGTACAAATCGAGGAAGTGAGGGAACTAACAAAGGTAGCCGCCATACGAATCGCAGTTGGGACCGATCTTCTTTGAAGGCTTATTCACCCAATCTATGACTCACTCTTGTCATTCAATATTGAATTCAGCTAGGTAAGTTCAGGTACGTATCCATCAGTGACGAGAGCGCCACGCCAGCAGACGCCCAGATGGCTATCTGATAGGGCGAAGGGTCAGCATCAGACGCACTATCGCCCCAGCAAAAGCAGGCAACACGACAGCATCTTCTTTGCTATCGTCTATGCCAAAGTCTGTACTTTTTCAGTACCAGAAAACAGAACGGATTGATGGGACCACGCGCGCGACGCCATACCCTGGATCTGAGTATAATCTTCGTCGAGCTTGATGGTCGAAATTCCAGCAAAATAAATTTTCAGATGTTTCATGATGCGAGCGACCACAAAGATATGGACGTTCCTCAGCGCACGGAGAAACACCGCTGGGGAGAGGGAAATCAAGAAGTGCATGTCAAGCATGGGGCCACATAGTAGGCAGCCACGAGCTGGTGCTCAGAAACTGAGGTATTGATCGGGATGTGAAGCTGTACGATAAAGTATCAACGATCTGTAGCAGACTAACAGTCCGACTCATAGCACACCTTGGTCGGCATCCCAGCCTACTGCATCACGATAGAATCAGACGAAAGCCTTGCTGTATTCAGGTGCCGAGCAACCATCGGGGTGTATTTGCTTTCCCCTATATCTCTATTTTTCGTTGACACATTGCGCTTAAGACCGCGATGCCATCAACAAAAAGGAGAGGACACAGGCCGAAGCCAAATGGCGAGGATATGCAGTTACGACACTTGGAGCTCGTGGAAGATCGCTGCGAGGAACAAGAGTTGTTCGATGCCGCGAAGAAGTACCTTCACTACTCTTGACCTGAGCAATGACGCGGGCGAAGACCGCCGTCGCGGATATTGGGGAATTCTAGGTAAACAACTTTCGGCTCTCCAGATGCCTCTTGCCTCGATGACGCCGCGGTACAAACCTCGACGGAGGACCCAAGGCAGCCAAGTGTGCACGGTCAAGATCGGGAGGACATTATAGTTATCCATGCGGTGTATGGCGAGGAAAGGACACTTTGACGGACTCCCAACGACGTCCACTATACAGTGGTTGTTGAAAGAGAGCAAGCTCACCATTTTTCCATTTCTTACCAATATCAATACAAATGACACGCTATCGCTCTTCCGGAGGGACTATTTCAGTAATACTAATAGTAATTCTACCTCCTTAAATAATTGCGCATGATTGTATCCATAATCTCTACAATCTTGGCGGACGGAGATCCAGTGGAATCAATGGATGTACAATGAGACGAGGAAGAGGATAAACGAAGGTTACAGCTCTAGAGAAGGTCCACAATACCACAACTCGCACGAGCAAAATCTCCATGTCAAACACGTTCCGAGGCCTCGAGGCTTTTCTGCATCTCATCCACCCAACTATCACTCCCTCGCTCAAGCACTAATGGCCTTCCTTCTTGACACGGGTTTTGTCCGCTTGCGTTTCTTCCCCTGATCGAACGCATTTGCGATTTTCAAGTCACGTCCGAGCACATCATCCTTTTTCACCTCATATATGCGGACCTAAAACGTAGTCAGCCCAAATACCGCAAACCAATCACATCGGGACGCACGATCCAATTTTCCGTTGTATATGCCTCCTCGAGGTAATCCAACGTTGGGCCCTGGATAGGCACATGCTGTCCCCGCACACGATCCACGGGCTGCTGACCACCAAATAGTTCCGCAAAGCGGTAGTAGCTCATCTTGTACATCAGACTTTCGCGCATCGCTGGGCTTGCCTCGCTGTCTACGCGGTACTCGCCACGGTTGAAGTAATTTGGCTCTTGGATCTCATCTGGCCAGACACCCTGTGCGATGCGCACCATCCAGAGGAACTTGTTGATGTCGTCACCGCTGTACCCGATCAGCCCACCGAAAATGATGAGCACGTAGCTGACATCATGTTTGCGCAGGATAGGGTAGGCGATGTCCTCGGGCGATGCCATGGCTTTGCCCACGGTCGCAATGTGTGCTGTTGCACGAGTCAGCATTAATTAGGGTTATCGGATGTCATAGGAGAAACCCACTGTTGTTCCAGGTGTTGTTGTCTACCAACGTTGGGCGATCCGCCATTCCTGCGATCTGGTAGCCATAGTCCCACCAACTCATGACAACTGCATCCTCTGCCGTGTTCTGCCTCAGCCAGTGGTACGCCTCTCTGAAATCATCAATGAGGTTCTTGCTTCCATCGGATCCCGTCGAGCTCAGAACGACAGACGGTGAGGAGTATGCATTCGAAGTCACCCAAGTGCAGTGCACCACGAAGAACAGAAGCAGTCCGAGCGCGTTCAAAAGAACGATCAGGCGCGTGTCCATGCCGAAGACGCCCTTCTCGGCAGTGGTGGCAGATTTGGCAGCTGCAGCAGAGGAGGCAACATTGGAGACAAGCTCGCCCAAGACACCACCAGCAGGGACAGACGCTTCCTTTTCCTTTTCCTTTTCTTTCTCCTTGTTCTTTTTCGACTTCTTGCTGGTAGCAGGTGTAGCGGGTGTCGTGGTAGGTGTGCCACTTGTTCCAGTGGTGGAGGGAGTCGTCGAGGACTCACTCTTGTCGTCTTCAACACTCGGTTCGGTAGGGTCCAGGTACGTATCCATGAGCGTCGATAGAGCTATAGCGGCAGACACGCAGACGACCGGGGTGAGGGTAAGCATCAAACGCACCATCACGCCTGCAAAGTAGCTGGCAACGACTGCGTAGATGATCACGAAGATGTGCTCGTCCCTCAGTGTACGGAAACACATTACCACGCCCGCAGGGAAAAGGAAAATCAGAAAGTGCAAGTCCATGAAGAACGACGGCCATGCGGTAGGCTGGTGCTCGGAAACTGAAGCAATGATGGGGATGTACCTGAGTGTCTGGTCAGTGATGGAAGGTTGTGCAAATGTATCTTCACATACTTCTTGGCGTAACCCGTATCCCACAAGGAGTAGAATCGTCCTGTCCAAGGGGCGATCCAGCCCTTATAAGTAAGGCCGACAATTCCAAAGAAGCCGATCAGGCCTAGAGAGATGACCGCAGCGAACAGTAACTCCTGGAACTGCTTCGAAGAAACGTGTGCGCGAACAAGTTGCCCGAATGCAACGATCTGCAATAGGCCGAACACACCTGAAAAGGCGTCAAATAGGAAATTAAGAAACACGAATAAAGAAACCTACCGAGCGCAGCCATGTGTTCACTAGTGCGAACAGGCTGGAAGCCAACGAAGGGGACCTGCATACTGGACAAGGTGCCAATCGCGTACCAGGACGAATACGCAACGTAAAGCCGGCCCGTGAAACGTCCCATCAACAACAAGACGAGGGCATGCAGAGGGATCATATTTGTAATGAATGCATATCCACCTAGTGCATTGTTGTCAGAATCTCGACTTGAAATAAATTATGTATATGACGGCATACCCCACGCGGCGACCATGTAAAAGTAAAAAACAGCAGCGATAGTGCCCCAAAATGCGCTTCCCTGCTTGAGTGCCTTGATCCATGCGAAGAAGGTGAACATGAGCAAGAATATGGCGATAGCCTCATTGTCGTACGAGCCGGCGACAGAACGCGAGATGTAACCAGGCACGATGCCGATGAAAGCTGCTGCAAGAAGACCAGCGCTTTCATCTTTCAATTCTTTCGTAAACCTGGCAAGTGATGATAAATTAGGTGGCATAATGGAGTGCAGAGCGCGCGCACATGTACGTGGCCCAAGCTGTCAAGGCGCTAAATCCTGGAGCTAGGAGGACGCAAATGTTGCGGATATCGACCGGGAGATTGAGTGCATGGAGTAAGTTGTAAATTACACCGCTGGTTGCCATAAGACCAGGGTAGATGGTTCCACCAACTACGCGTCCAAGGGGGTACCATGCCGTTGGGTCAAACCAGTTCCAGAATTCCTGGAAAACGCGACTTGTGAGTTGCTAGTTGAAGAACCTGAAAGTGGTACGCACATAGAAACCTTGCGAGGCGAGAACTTTTGTTGCTCGACTGTAAAGGAGGCGCTGAGCACGCGAATAGACACATGAAAGCTACGTACTAGTTAAACCATGGGTCGCTGTTGATAGTTCATTATGTCAGTCACCAGAAATTCGTGTACGGCTGCACGTACAATTCATGAATGATACTCTCAAAATTGATAACAGCAAATAGACGAGAGGCAATAGCAGCGCCTGATATCAGGGCAAGCGCAATGATGCGGAGGAGGGACGCAGTATTGGTAACGGTTGTGGGAGACAGATCAGAAGGGAGAGGGTAGGCGGCCGGCATGGCCGCGAGTAATTATTATGGACTGTCGTAGACTGTCTTTTAGCAACGTTGAATGAAGAGACCGGACGATGAGCTGCAACCCTCTAAGCAGTTGTGGAAGTGCGAAACCTTGGCGTTAACCGAAAGTCGACGTGTCCACTAAATGCGGACTTTGACCCCTCCGTGGAGGGTCGCGTGCACCTGGCAGCAATCAATTGTACTATCTGGTATCTACTCATCGCTACCACCGTGACTGTACATCATCATATGCTACTGACCATAGTAGCTCATGGTGTCCTCGGTAGAAATCCAACATGGATGTGAGGCAATATTTCATGGCACGAATCAGTGCAGGTACTACCACTGCTTTTCCAATGACCGCGGTCCAGGAAATTCATCGTGGCATCCATCATATTATCCGTTTGCCACAGAAAGATGCTGGTAGATTCGGACCCTAAATCTATCGCCGGGAAGTGACGGCTGCGGTGACCGGTCCAGTGCATGTGGGAGTTGAATATCACAGAGACATTCACCTCGAGATACGGAATACTCATTGAATCAGGCTGGCTTAACATAGATTATGCCTGCTGGATCAAACACTGGGGTAACACGCTGGGCAACGCACCCGGATCCAGCATTCACACCCGGGTCAAACATGCTGGCATTTTGCATTCGCCGCGTAGCCGGAGCTTGGTACTCCAGTATGCAAAACCTACCCTCCACCTCGATAACGAACCGTGCCCTAATCAGCTTCGGTGCATCATAAGGCAGTGACAACACCATTGGAACGCGCCGCGTAAGTCTTGATGGAATTTCTACAACAGTGCTAGTTCAACACGTGTCTCTCATCAACCTTCCATCTAGGGCAGACGTGTGGAAGCCTCGAGGCGCAGCATGCAGCCCTCATAAGCGATTCCAGATGCAACGGCATTCTGCACTTTTCTTTCAGCTCTCTTCATCTTGTAGCTTTTCAATAGCAGAGCCACAATATTCACGTCCTGGTGACTGAATAACACACTGAGCAATAACCACAGCTGTCCAACCTCGCGGTTATATTCGTACCCTAATCCATTTCAGGTTATTCGCAGATTCACTAAATCATGCTCCCCATCACCGAATTTCAGTTTGCGTTCTGTGGGATCGCAACCTTTGCGGCCACATTCGGCTACGCTTGCGCTCGTAGAGCCTCCTCCCTGGGCGCGCAACCAAGCCACGTCGATGTCGAACCGTGAGTCACGCAACCCAGCCAAGTAGTTGTAATCCATAACTCGGACTCAGCGAGGAGAAGTCTCTCAAGCGTAAGCTCGATGAGTCTGATGCCGAATCCGAGGGAGAGCAGGAGAGACCCGTCAAAAGGAGCAGAACACCTCCCAATGACCACGAGGAGGAAGTGAGTTTTGATCGAAGACAGTGATATTGTTCCTTCATTTGTTGAGCAACTTCTGCTAGGAGTGGGAAGTTGTCGTTCCACCTCCTTCATACCAAGAGGCCCAGAACGCGGCACCCCATCCTGAACCAGCTGTTCGACAAGAACTACTCACTGCTGCTCAAGTCGGGGCCGCGCAAGTCGAAGAAGTTGCTGCAAGCGCTAATGAGGTAAAGTTAAGATTTAATTTAATCGTGTCCCAGGTGACTCAATTAATCTTCTGCAGCCCGCTCCAGAAGCGCATATTACGGCGGCTACAATTGTTAGCGAAAATGTTCAGCCGGCCGAACCACAGACGGAGGTCGAGTCACAATCTAAGCATCCTGAGAACCCGTCTCATTCAGTGAGGGACGACGAACCCAGCGAGCCTCGCCCCGTTATGCCGCCGCCGGCTCCCAAGCCAGTTATTCGTAGGCCGAATGCTTCTGCATTCTCATCTTTCGCAAACACCAAATCTCCTTTCGCCAAGTATTCCAATACTCCCTTCCCGTCATCTACATTGACATCTACACCTGCCTGGCGATGCGGCGAAACCCGTACCCCAGGTCTCCCTGCTGAATTCGCACCTGCGCCGTGTCCGAATGACAATGCGCTCTCACCGTCTCCAAACGAGGTTGCTGAGACGTCTTCAGCCGGTGCTCTAGGGGACCGTGCGCAGGCATCCACAGCACCCAAAGCATCCTCACGTGCGTCACCGCCTATTTGGCCACTTGATTAATCTATAATATCACTAGTTGTAACCGGTGAAGAAGACGAATCCGTCTCCGCCGAGCTTAAAGGCGTCAAACTCTTCATAAAGCGCGGGCGCAAAGATTTCACGGATGGTAACTTTGGGCATATCAAAGTCCTGACCCAGAACGAACGCACACGCCTGCGTAAGTCCACTTTCATTGCAATATGTCAGTATTGATCACGGCGCGGTGTATCAGTATTCAGACGGGACCCCCTTGGCCAGGTGTCCATGAATGTGGCCTTGCGGCCTGCAGTGCGGTGCCATTATGATGCAGGGGAAAATATTCTCCGGGTCGTGCTGATGGAGCAGGTTGCCGTTGAGGGGAAGGAGCCGAAGGACGAGGTTGCGATCTATGCCCTCAAGGTAGGTAGCAGATCTTTCAGAAAAATAGACTCTGATAATCGGTCAACATGCAGCCGGGGCGTGCATCGAAGGCAGACTTCAAGGTTTTTGCTGAAACGCTCTGTGCAAACGATCGTCTCAAAGCAGCGTCTTAATACTCCCCTCCCCTCGGAGGTCGATGACAGATGTCATGCCGCAAGATGCTGGCCATCTTCTCTGGGACGCAATAGGCGTTGGGGTAGTGAGGTTGTATGACAGGAGGTCAACAACTCTGGCGCTTGTGAAATTGGCCTTCGTCAGTCAATGGCCTCAGCAAGCCCAGACCACTGAACATTATGGATATCCCGACACTGCATATTGAATACCCACTAAAGATTGTACAAACTTTCGCTCGTGTTGCATTTGCAACACCTTATCTAGGTCCAACGATGGGAGTTTGTACGTCTACTATAGAATCATGATTCTGGTTCCAGGTTGTCGGGGACTCGAGAGGATCACAAATGTGGCAGGGTCACGTCAGAATAGTGGCAGATCAATGGGAGATCACAAATTTTCGCACCCTCAGGAAGGGGCTATGTGAATCTCCTGGACAATATTCACCACTGGTTGCTGCAGGTCCAGACCGTCCAGACCACTTAAATAAAGAAAATTATTGTTTCGATTGCTCGCTTATATGCAGCGGTTTTTTTTTGATCTGAGCTTCGTGACCGTGTTACGTTCCTGAGGGCTTGGGCTGTCTTGAAGGACCTTTCAGAGTATGGAAACTGAGTTCGTGCTTGCAGAAGAGGCTCCACTGGCACATTTCTGCAGCTACCCTTGCTGCCAGATGGAGCTCGGGCCTACATCGGGTTCTTATTTGACCCCTTAGAGTTTGCCTGGCTTGTCGGAAAAAAATGACACTTGCTTGATATTCAAGTTGCTTCTATGGCGGCAGGTCATCAGTTCCCGAGGCATGGACAGCTCGATGTCACCTTCCGCCAAGCTTAAACATTCCCTTCAATATCTTCATTGATGACATCCCTGCAGCTGTCAGGCTCACCTAGTAATTCCAATTAAGTAGAGATCGAGCAAGATCTAGGGATGGCATGAAATACAGAGCTGAATTAGCACCGCGCCTGAACTCTGAATCACGTCCGAATTCCAGAGCTGTGCTTCGTCAACTCTGCATCAACAGCGGTGTTAATACAGTAGTTGCTGCAGATATGATAGAAGAGGATATGAATGAACGTGTCGGCGTAGAATTTTCATGTGAGTTAAGTAATCGCCCATGGCAAGGGCAACCGACCTTGAAAGTCCAAGGTCCTATACAAGTGAACAGCCAAACGTCACTAAGTGCTCGTCCGCTGTTGGAAAGCTTTAAAGCCTTGAATGGAAAAAAATGATATGAATTACATTAGTCTTACTAGGCATTCTCTCCAATATACCGAAGTTAATGGCCTGCTGCTGAGTTTGGGCGAGAAGACGAAGCTGCGATCGGAGTCGTCGGGTACAGGAGTCCTTCTGCTTCGAGGAACTTGATCGATGGGGAAATCAGACTGCGAGGAACTGAGAAACCACGTAAGACCCTTGGCATCACCGCATAGTGCGCAGTTGCTTGTCAATTCTAGATACCGTACCTCCGCACTGTGACCCCCATTGACACACACCTGTGCAACATCTTGCGACTCCGAAGCCGCAAACTTGACGACCCTACCAGATCACATTGCAGGAATACAGGGTGCACGGAATTCGTTATCCTCCATTCGACAGCTCATTGCCTATCAAATATGTGGCCGACCACCTAGTTGACTTCTGTGAAAGCGTGAACTATTGGGACCATTTGGCAGACGAGCGAATAATATAATATCTTCATAGAATCCACTCGCGTTCGGGACCTTGGTTCCGTCGTGATAGCTGTCTAGTGGCACACTAGGTCACTGTGTAGGCTTGTCATAGAGAGACTCTATTCTTCAATTTCCTGGGTCAGGTCAAATGCGATTGAACGCGGCACAGAAAATTGCATAATAAAATCGCCAATCAGGATCGCTAGGCGTTGACGATATTGAGACGGAGAGACTTGGAGGCGCATGTAGGCGGCCAACATCATGAGCAAATTGCAAGTCGAGGAACGACTGGTCACATTGAGGTCACATGATGTGTCAGGTCACGGTTACACTTAGTATTGCATCTCTTCAAGTTAGGCATCCGGATTCTGCATCAGCATTTGGATATGTTTCTCGTTCTTTCCCCTCAGCTTGCCTAGTAAACCACTCGAATTCGCTACGCAAGCTTTGACAGGTAGTTCGGAAGTCTCTTCGCTTCACTTTCTTCGTTTGTCACATCATGGCCCGCGGCTTCAAATCCCCCGCTGCTCAAGTACCACTGCCTAAAGTGTCATTTATTATAGTCCAGGATGATGATATCAATCAACCTGCTGGGGTGCACGACCTACAAGCTAGATCCTACGGATGTATGCAGCATATACGCGCTGTCAAACCACTTTCGCTAACTCCTTTGCAGACAACGACTTCACCGAATTCCTGAGGCCGGATCATTACATTCGGTATATTGGTGAGCGCGTTCACGTTTAATAAAAGAAATATATCTGATGCAAAGTAGAGCCCCTTGAGAAAGACCTCGCTATTCAGGTTGAATATGACATGGATGACCAAGGTGTGCATGCTCTTGCCCCTCCTTCACCCTCTTAATATGTTGGAGCAGATCAGGAATGGCTTGACGCAGTGAACGTTGAAAGGAAGAAGGATCAACTGAATGCGGTCACGTACGAGACGTTTGAGATTATCATGGATCGCCTGGAGAAAGAGTACTTCGACTTGGTACGCCCCTCTGTACCGTGTATAGGATCCTCTCATTTTGCCGCTATGCAGACCAAGAATATACCTAAATCTGATTATGCCATGCCTTCTGAGGATTCAACTTGCGCTATTTGTGACGATTCCGAGGGAGAAAACAGTAATGCTATTGTATTTTGTGACGGTTGCAACCTCGCTGTTCATCAGGGTATTTTCCCTCTAACTTCTGAATAATTCATTTTACTCATATATCAACAGACTGCTATGGAGTGCCATACATACCTGAAGGGCAGTGGTTATGTCGCAAGTGCACTGTCTCGCCGGAGAATCCAGTGGTGAGTAGGATATCGAAAGCTCATGCATTTTTCACTGATGGGCCTTCAGTCATGCATCTTATGCCCGAACGAGGGGGGAGCGTTCAAACAAACAGTCTTCGGTGACTGGGCTCATCTTCTGTGTGCCATTTGGATACCTGAGACGCGAGTGGCAAATGAGGTATTCATGGAGCCTATCACTGGATCCGACAAAATCCCGAAGCAACGCTGGAAATTGGTATATTCCTCTGCCTCGTGATCCTCTCGTTCATTGACCATTAATCTAGAAATGCTCAATATGCGGAATTCGCGAGGGTGCATGCATTCAATGCACGAAGAACTCATGCTTCCTGGCCTTTCATACAACATGTGCTCGTAAGGAAAGGTTACTCATGCCAATGAAGAGCTCGCAGGGATCTGAGCCTGGGACACTGGCGTGCTATTGTGAGAAGCATCTTCCTGTATGCAACAGCGTCTCCTTTCTATCGAAACAACTCATGCTGTCATTTTTCAGAAAGAGCAGCAAGACGCTCGCCTCAAAGCCCTTGCACAAGATGGCCAGATGACTAGCCCCAACTCTAAGCTGTCTAAATCTGCCCGTGCATATGCCAAAACTTACAAGACCGGTCCACCGCTTGTGCCACACATCATTGTTGATCGAATCCTGAACTACATCACCAAGGTAAATGTGCGCAAGAAAAACGAGTTTGTGTACATGGTGTGTAAATACTGGAGCTTGAAGCGTGAGGCCAGGAGAGGGGCACCACTCTTGAAGAGACTGCATCTGGAACCATGGACAGCCTCAAACGCAGGAAAAGTACAGACGGAAGAAGAAAAGACTGTGAAGCTAGAGGTTCGTTTTCGTTTTCGTTCCTTTCGCGGTTATTGACGTCCGTGCAGCATTTGAAACGTCTACGCAGCGATCTCGAGTCTGTCCGTGAATTGACGTTACAAACGCGCAGGCGAGAGAGCCGGAAGCTTGCTCAGACTGAGAGCGTCCAGAAAGTGCTTGAGATTGCACTCTTTCCTCACGAAGCACTACTACGGCTTGCATTTGAGAAGGTTCTTGCGTACGCAGTGCTCCGACTCGCTACATCGAAACATTCTGACATTTCATCAGTCTTGATCGCCACGGTCTCTTCAAGCATCCGGTGTCGAGGACGGAGGTCCCCGACTACTACGACGTCGTGAAAAAGCCCATGACCTGGGATGCAATTGACGCTAAGCTTGACCGTCACGAGTACTGGGACCTGGAGTGTTTCAAGGTGGGCCTTACTTGGTCTAGTTTCACCTCCCATTAACATATTGCAGAACGATGTCGAGCTGGTGCTGTCTAATGCAATACTATACAACAAGCCTGGTACATCGTTCTACAAGACCGCACAAAGAATGCAGATAAGCAGTCAACCCATCCTTCAAGAACTCACTTCCCTCGCTTACAATCACACACCCCTCGCACCCCCCGATCCTTCCGACTCCTCCGTTCTCTCCCAGATGTCCATTGGGGATCTCGAACCTTTGATGGAGACACTCCAGCTTCTAACGTCAACTCAAGACATCCAAGACGATATTAATCTTATTCTTGATGCCGATCCCATCTCAGCATTATTTAATTTCGAACTTCCGCGCGTCAAGCCTCCACCGCCTCCATCACCGCCTCCCGCTCCCGCTCTACCTCCCCCACTGCCTCCCAAGTCCAAAAAGAAGCGTCTCCTCAAGATCAGCGAACCTGGTCCTCTGGATGCTTCCCCAGGTTTTCGTGCCCCGCGAACCCGCCGAGCTCTTGCGGCAGCTGCAGCTTTCGAGGCCGAGGCCGGCTTCGAACCCGAATATCAATCTACTGCCGAACCTGAACTCGAAGCAACTGAAGCCGATCAAAAAGTATCTGCTGAACCACCGAAGAAACGACGGAGGCACAGCGCAATGCCTGGTCAAGCAGAAACGCCACCCATGGTCACAGATGTGGACAGTCAGGGACTATTCAAAATGTTCGATGCGGGGTGGATTCTACCGACGGGACAGCGAAGAGGTGGACGTCAGTTTGTGGAGAGGGCTCCGCTTCCACCGAAGAAAAAGAAGATGGGTAAGTTAATCGGCCTTACTGTTTCTTTACTGACTATCGTCATCAAGATCGCGGGATGTCGAGGCTGTCTGTATTCAGCACCAACGCATCGGAGAATCAGACTCTAGACGAGATTCCTGGGCCTTCTGGCTTGTCTGTGGAAGAGAAAGTCGATATGGATGTCGAGCCTGGAGTAACGTCCGAGGCGAGTGCTGCTGCCATTGACATGGATGCAAGGTCAGAGTTGGCCCTTGGCACCAATGAGGAGACGGAGACATCCATGGTTATCGATATTCCAGAGACGCACCAGGAGGAAGAAATGGAGAGTCGACCGCAGCCAGAGCTCGAACCCGAACCTGAACCTGGACCTGAACCAGGACCTGAACCAGAGGTTCAACCACAGGAAGTACTCCAGCCGGAAGTGCTCCAGCCGGAAGTGCTCAAGCCGGAAGTGCTCAAGCCGGAGGCCACAGAGTTAGAGGAGGAAAGGGAGGAGACGCGATCAGAGTTGGAGGCGCGGATAGCCAAGATCCCCATTCGACCAAACGTGAAGATCAATGTCGAGAACGGAAAGATTGTCGTGGAGGAACTAGACACGCCCAAACTTCGGCGGGAAAAAGCAAGGCAGCGGAAAGCAGAAAAGGCGGCGGCGGCAGCTGCTGCTGCCGCCGCTGCGCAAGGCATTCCGCAAGCCAAAGCCGAGACCCCCAAACCCGATGTCGGGACCACTCAAGATGACGCATCCGATTTATCTTCTCTAAGCGAGCTGGACAGTGATACTGATGAGAAGTCTGTGAAGAAGACTGCATCCAAGACAAAACCTGAAGTACAATCCACCACAACGCGTCAAGTGCAACGCGCGCCAGCCATTCTTATTACCTCAGGACCAGCGCTTGTTGTACTTGAACCGGGGAAACAGTTAGAAGGTGGCACTCTTGGTACGTCACCTAAATAGTCACACTGATTCACATTTAACGACATTTGTTAGTTTGGGCTAAAGCAGGTCAGACCTTAATGAATGGAGCCTGACAGTCTACAGACCGGTGCTGATGCTGACCTCCAGACACGTATCCATGGTGGCCTGCAGTTGTGTGGGAACCAGATGACCCAAAGATTCCAGAAGACGTCAGGAAGAAGAAGCCTCGAGATAATTCGCGTCATATCGTACAATTTTTTGACCCCACATCGTCTTGGTACACCTCCGATAATTAACAGTCGAATTTAGCTGATACCTATCCGAACAGGACATGGGTTACCATTGGTCATATGTTATTATTGGGAGAGGATAATGGTAGGTGCTGGCAGAGTTTCGTGTCTTCCACCGCTAATTCCCTCATTAGGGGTCGACGCTTCGCTACTTTCCCCAACTTCGACGGTCCAAAAGTGGAAAACACACAGGATTAAGAAACAATGTCGGGAAGCTTTCCAGTAGGTTCTCTTCTCATCCCTCGTATACTCCATAAGAACACATTGCTTTCAGACGCGCCTTGGCAGAGATGGAAACAGATGCAGATAAACTTGCTCATGAAGCAGAAGATCTTGCGACGGAGGTCACAATTTCTGGTTCTTTAAAGGAGCAAAGTTCAGCCGATGTCGATACGGGTACGTCAGTTGAGCAAGGTTCTGCTGATGTCGATATGGGTACGTCAGTTGAGCAATTGGCATCAGCATCATGATCGAGGGCTTCTCTCTGTGCTGATGCCCAGATGAGGGTTCAAACTGTTCATGCATGAAAGGTTAATGTATGTTATGTAAATTTGTCCATAATTAATATTGTCCAATGATTCGATGCGTTTTGAATCGCTTCCCACCACTCGACGAAATAAGGGTCAAAAGCAAGTCAATAGACATGTTTTATGCAGGTTGTCAAGAATTTACAGCCCTGAAAAATGCTACAGAGATATCTCTCGGTGGCGAAGAGCAGTAGCAAGTCCCAGTCCGTGATCTCACAAGAGATATTTCAAAAGACCGCTGGGAAACACGTTGTCTTATGTACCGGCCAAGATTTCTTCTGATGATCACGGTCGCACTGTTGGTAAAGTAGAGTGAGACGGACACAAGAAATAGACGTGCAAGTACTTGCATAAACAGCTGTTTTGCACCTGTGGCGTAGTGAGACCCGGGTGAACTAAAGAATGAGAATACTATCATACCGAGAGCATTGCAAGAGCTTTGAGGTTCTGGACGTTCCACAGTCGACAAAGCCACATTCATTGAGAGACTGTTCACAGTGTTGTTTCAGGCCTTCTGCCATGAACGTTGTTTCCCTTGATTGGGTCTTGTCACTACCTTCTCGGCGACGAAACAAGTAACTCACGAATCACCCTCGAGCTGCTTGAGGCAACGTGTGATCTGTTGCCTCTGGTACTTCCTATTCCATTCACGTAGCTTTGGAAGAAGCACTTGCTTATCTTCCTCGCTGACGGAATCCAAGCCCTGCAGGGCTAAGAGGATCGAGAGAAACTGGCACATTTCTACGATGTACGTAGGATCTGCTGGATCTGAAGATGCAGCGGCCATGCGACGCGCTTGAGTCTTACAAATCGACGACTTCGCCGTGGTCAATAGAAACCTAGCAAAGTACGGCCTAGAAACTAGTGAATGAAGTGTGACAAGTAGTCGAAGAGAATTTACAGGTAAGAAATGATATTGAGCATTCTCATGGGTATGCTGAATGCCGTGTCTTGCGCATTGTAGGCGTCCGCGAGGGCTGGGAGATACTTGGCGCTAAATTCACTGACAGAAGCGAGTCATTATTTAGTAGAGGAATGTGACAGCAAGGGGGCAACCTTGGCTGCTAAACGCACGAATTGATCGCGTTTTCAGATGGACTCCTTAGAAGCAAATCAAGCTAGCGTACAGATGAGAAACAATGAAGACGACGGTGCTGCCAGTGAAAAACGAACCTGTCGTTCGAGGAACACCAAATTTTCCTGCTGATCGCCAGTCAGCCCGCAATACTCTGCTAGCGAATCCGCCGTGACGTTCAATAATCCTTGTAGATCAGCTTGCGTGCCAGACACCCAGCTCATCGTTTAACTGATATCAATGCGAAGACTACTAGCCTCTAGGGACGGTGGGACAGTTCAAATTTCAAAATCAGAAACAACGTGTAAAATGGATAATCATGATGAAGTTCCTTTGCGGGCATACTATGGCCGAGTAGTATTAGTCCCTTGGTGCACATCGGGACCTTGCTTGAGAAGTAAGGTTTGATGTTCCTGTGCAAGATGACGTAGCACCGCCACCAAAAGTTTAAGAACAACAGCAAAAATACCTTCGCTGATTGCCGCGGCGCTCTGCGGTTCCTCCTTTCCATTAACAAAGTAGTACTCTCTCATGATCATGCTCTCAAAGTCGGTTAAGTGCCTATCTGATCAGTACTGCTGTACGAGCGTCAAGAGGCGTCAAGCGCTCCCATCTGGACCTCTTCGTTAGCCCTGCAGGAGATTGTGTAATTTTAGGTAGGGGGTACATGCCGCTGTCATACTTATCTAGGAGACACACGTTCACCACAAGAACATAACGTGCAAGTAACGAGGAAATGTGGATATGATGACAGCTCCTCACCGGTCGTGAAACTGGCAGTGTTATCGATTTGATCGTTAACAGTGATTCATGGCAACCGACAGGAGATTGGCGCTGGCCAACGTAGAGCACTGGACGAGCCAAGGGCTTATCAGTATATTAATAGTAAGTCAATAATTAATGAACACCACCTCCTTCCCTCTGATTTCTCCGTTCGATCTCCACTGTGATGTCAGAACAAGAAGTCATCGCTAGTCTCCGCTGGAATAACAACGTATCTGGTTTGTCACCTCCTTTCATCTGATCTGTGAACGAACTATCGTGCTGAACATTGGTTCCAGTAGTAACCATTACCCTGATATGCTACGAGTACTGTCAGTGACCTTCGATAACCTTCATAACCCTCACTGAGCTTAGGATTACCTAGTGTTTCTGTTCGAGAAAGAGGTACCAAAAGGCTCCTTTTCTATTGATCGAGTACTTATCGTCATGATCGGTGCAGGTCATGTTTGTTTGGGTCAGCGCTCAACCCTTTATCTACAAAATGACTCCAACCCAGCGCCTGACTGACAATGATACAGAAAAGACAGTGGTCACCGATGTCGTGTCTTTACCTTCTCGTGAGCTCTGCCCTGCCAAGGTGTTTTATGGTCGTTCATTTTCTGCTATGCCAGGTCCGATACTTTGGTCTTTTCGTTGCACTGTATGTCGTAGTCGTCTTGTCCTTCATTCTATATTGACACTGACCATAGGCTTTGCGGCTGCTGTATGTAACGCTATGCTAACCGTGAGATCATTAGCTGACTAGCATTAGGGGGAGGTCTGATGTATATGCCTGAATCAGTGAGTGTATCTATACCTGCTATCTTTAAGGAGTTCCTAATTGAGATGGTTTTAGTCGTACGTCACAAGATCTTTGTACAGCTGAGTCTCAATAGTTATTGACCTCTTATTTAGCTGTGAGCGTACCGTATTCAACCTGAACTGGTTTTGCTCATCATGCAATTGAAACAGGCTACCCTCTTGCCGTTTTAATGAATTGGGGCTTTTCTGCATATTTTTGCTTAGCTGAAGGCCGGTCCCACATTCTTGCATATTATAACGCATATCGATTGAGCATTCACAGTCGTTCTTATCTGGCGTCTTTACATCCTATGCCACCAATCTAAACGCGTACTTTATGTTCTGGTGGGGCTGTTCTTGCCTGTTGTCGCCCTCTCCATAGGGATGGACATATTTTTATATAGTCGACCCTCAGCGTTCTCAGGTGAAATTCTACTTAGAGATCGGATTCTATGCAAACTGACGTCTGGTTGCATAGTGAAAGAAGTAATCACTGCGAACATCAAGTACTGCGCCCCTTCCTTCAACATAGGACCTATGCCTGCGATATATGCCTCCATCCCCATCATTTGCTATGATATTTTCCTAGTTGTTCTTTCAGCTTCCTTCCTTGTGAAACACCTGAAAGAACGGAAGGAAATCAAAATGAGGCCCAATATCTATGTATTACTAATTGTTCGATGTCATATCATATACTTCGTCCTGTGAGTTCCCCTTCGTCTGGCAGGCCCTCTTGAAAGTGATAGCTGAATCCCACTAGGAATCTGGCAAACCAAGTCTTCTTGGACATATTATGGGCTAGCATTCCGGTGTGACACTACCATGATCCTACAGAGTTTAGCTAACGCATACACGCACAGACACCGGTGATGAGTTTCGCAGAGCTTTTCAACGATACCGCACCATTTATTTTCGCGCCGCGTCTTATCATCAGCATTTGGGATACGCATGCCAACGAAAACTGCGTACAGGTCAGTACGGCGTTCGAAGATTGTGTATGTTGGACTTCGCATCCACAGCACGAGATTTCGTTCGCATGATTTTGGCATAGCGGTTACAACATCAGGATCAAGTCAGGATCGATGTAGAATGAGGTGTGCAGGCATGCTAAAAGTGTTCAGTCTCGGGCCCTGGCGGGGTTCCTGATTTTCCAAGGGTAGATCAGGGCTAATTTTTTCTGTAAATCCGTGCACTATCTGATAGTGCAACATAGCATAATTTATCATAGAGGACTAAATACACTCATGGCCCATGGCTCATGACTCCCTCTCCCTCCTCCGTGCTGTTCCCGTCGTCCCTGCTCTCTATTCCCACCTTGAGGGCGCTGTCACTTCTGTTCCCCAAATAGTCAAGGTGGTTATATTCCCATAAATGTAAGATAAAATACTTTGCTGATCGCGATTGTCTTCATCGAAGACAGCGTAACAATGTCCGTCCAAGAGATCACTTTGCCGTACAGACGTCATCATTTTAACATCTGCAAACACTTCGCCTAGTTCGAGGTTCGGTCTTAAATGATACCCTTGCCAGCCAAGGGTTGTGGGGCTTTATTTATTTTTTCCAGCATATATCAGGGTAGATATTAAGCACCGCCATTACTACCTGAACAGGAGGGTTGGACAAGCAGAATCTAGCCCAAGAAGCAACAGACACCGGTGACCCTTGTCAGCCGTGTGATCATCGATATCCTTGCAACTTTCCGTTGGACCTTTCCGTTGGCAGCGAATCGTCGAGGACAGCGATTCGGGGCACCAAAAGGAAGTAAGGCGCCGCAAGTTCGGCACGATGTCGTACAAATTTCATTAGGACATTATAACCCTTACAAGTTAACGAGATTCTGTGCTCTATAAGTATTGCACGATGGTGATCAGCTGCCCACCGCTCACTCTTTGAAATCGCCATTTGATTTGGCACAGTTTCATGTCGAATCTAGAAGATGTTGCCTATACTCTTGAGTGGAATAACAATATATCTGGTTCGTCAGCCTTGCTGTAAGCGAACCATTGAGCTGAACTTCATCATTTTCCAGTTGCAATCTTAACCCTGGTATCCTATGAGTACAGTCAGTAGCCTTCATGACCCTTGCACTACGGCTGAGCGTGATATTTTCTAGTGCTTCAGTTAGAGAAAGAGGTAACGAGGCGCTTATTTTATCTTCGTCGAGTACTCATGATCACCTTATCACAGGTCAAGTTTGTTTGGGTTAGAGTTCAACCTCAATGATATCAAGCCTCCAGAAATTGACTGGTTATCCAGGAAAGACAGTGGTCAGTGATGACGTATCTATACCTGGTTGTGAGTTCCCTGCCGAAGTGTTTCATGGTTTTCCATTTTTGATGCTGTGTCAGGTTCGATATTTCGGGATTTTCCTTGCATTGTATGTCTCGGTGGTTGTGTCCTTCAGATGATATTGTATATTGACACTGAACCACATTAATAGTGTTTGCGCCTGCTGTACGTGACATGACACCAACCGAGCTGTCGTTAACTGACTAGTGCTAGGGGGAGGTCTGTTTTACATACCTGAAGCAGTGAGTGTACCGATTCTTTCTTTTGAGTTTTAGGTTGACCCAGATTCAGCCGTACGTCGGAAGTTCGTTTTATAGCTAAGTCTGATCTGCTGCTTACCTCTTATTCAGTTGTGAGTATATCATGTTCAACTGAAACTGCCTTTACTCATCATGAAATTGAAATAGGCCATGGTATTTTTCTGTTAATGCAATGGGGATTTTCTGTATATTATTGCTTTGCGGAAGGTAAGTCGTATGTTCTTGCGTCTTTGCGCGTACCGATTATGCGTTCGCAGTCATTCTCATCTGGCGTCTTTACGCCCTATACGACCAATCCAAGTCCATACTTTATGTTCTACTGGGGTTGTTCCTACCTGTCGTCGCGCTCTATATAGCGATGAATACATTTTTATGGAGTCGACCCTCAGCGATCTCAAGTAAATTTCTGCTTAGGTCGAATTCTGCACAAGCTGACGTCTGGTTGCACAGCGGATGAATTCATAATAACTCCGAACATAAAGTACTGCACGGCTTCCTTCCACATTGGGCCCATGCCTGCGATATATTTGACAACTCCCATCATATGCTATGATATTCTCCTATTTATTCTCGCAATTGTTGCCCTATGGAAACACCTGAAAGAACGGAGGGAACTTGAAATGAGGCCTAACACCTATGTAATAATGATCGTCCGATATCATATCATATACTTTGTGTTGTAAGTTTCTCTTCGTCTGTGGGGTTCTTTAAAAGTACTCATCGAATCCCGCTAGGAATTTGGCAACTCAAATTTTCACGGCGATGTTGTGGGCCGACCTTCCGGTATGATCTCCCATGATTCTAGAGAGATAAGCTCTAACGCAAGGATACACAGACGGCGGTGATGAATCTCGTCCTGTTGTTCAACGATACGGCGCCATTTATTATCGTGCCCCGTCTTATCATCAGCATTTGGGATACGCATGCCAACGACAACTGCGTACATGTCAGTACAACATTCGAGGATTGTGTATGTTGGACTTCGCCACCGACATTCGAGCAGCACGAAATGGACCCCTACGCATGATGGTTCCAAAAACGAGGGGTGAGGTAGAGTGAAGTCCCTCAAGTCCTCGGGCTCTAGTCCTAGCCAAAAACTCTGATACTTTATGGGGGCAAATTCAGGCCGATTCTCTGTATATTTATTCACCATCACATCCACGAAGTATCAGTATATCTATATTGAGCTTGAATTCGATAGCTAGGTGTGATAGTCACGGTGCGGCTGCTTAGCATAAATTATTCCAGATGACAGCTTGGTGTTGAGGCCGTGAACACCACAAATGAAGAAGCTTTATAGGAGAAATATCGCGCATGTTGGCCGTACGCATTAATGAGGAATGTACTCCTACTAGATCATAGTATATCATACCCTGCCGCATGCCACATTCACATTTGTCCCTACTCTATTTGCTAACGTGCGTATGATCCTGAGGCTGTCGGTAGCTGGCAATCGAATTGGCCCAACGCCAGTGACCCGGTTAGAGCCGGCTAGCTTCGGAAACCAGCTTCCCCAGCTGACTAAAAGGCTGATTCACTGGCAAGGTGACGCAATCGATCATCTCAACTTAGCTGCCGACTACCACCAGACAGTCAACGGAAACCATGTCTCATGAAGATATCATCCTGAACGTCTCCTTCCGTGGGACATCACATACTGTTTCCCTCCCAAACGACGCACCCGTCTCTGCTCTCCACTCCCGCCTCGAGGCCCTAACTTCTGTCCCGCCATCATTACAGAAACTCATTTATAGAGGGAAGAAAATCCAGCATCGACAGGATGACCCCGATCCAGAACCCACCATTGCTCAAGCTGGTCTTCGCAATGGCATCAAAGTGCAGATGCTTGGCTCGACAGCAGAAGAACTCGGACAACTGAATGCAGCTGACGCGGCACATCACAAGAAAGAGCAAATTCTCAAAGACAGGGCGCTGAAGCCGCGGGTACAGGTATGTCCTGACACACCTTCTTATCGTCAAGACTGTCAATCATGATGAGAGGCAATTAGCTTCGTTCGACTGGGTCATCGTCTACCTCGTCTCACCAGTACCGCTTTCATCGCATAGAGCCGCTCACTCATCTCCCGCGACCTGAAACGGCGACGGAGTGTCTCACGACGCTTTCCAAAGATCCTGCAATCCTACATATCATGCAGAAGCATCGTTTCTCCGTTGGCTTGCTTACCGAGCTTGCTCCGCATGAGCATCCTGGGCTTCTAGGTCTTAATGTTGGGGGTGGAGGTACCATCAAGCTGCGAATTCGGCTTGATACATATGATGGTTTTCGCCCGTACTTGGAGGTCAGACGCGTGTTATGCCATGAACTGGCGCACAATGTATGGGGCGACCATGATAATGACGTGAGTTACAGCTACCTCTAATATCCTATTCACATGACGGTCGTATGCTTTTAGTTTAAAGAGCTGAATTCGCAGCTCAATCGCGAGGTTGCAGAATTTGAGGCTGCAGCAGGAGCAGGAACGCATCATCTTTCTGATTCAAACGATACCTATCAGCCGTCGTCGGACAAAGAAGTGGAGGCACTCATTCATGTCCTAGGCGGCACAGGCCTTCGAGGCAATGATACCATGGAAGAACGGCGGAAAAGGGTGTTGGATGCTGCCACAGCGCGCCTTAGGAACGAAGAAGAAGAACTGGAACGGAATTGCGGGACTTCTGGACCACAGAAGCAATCTGGATGACAGTTGAGTAAATTAATTTCACGCTAGCGATGGTTGTTTGAATTGGATGATGATTTGCTTCTGGACTACATAGTAAGCTTCCATCTCCTTTCAAAACTTCTGGTCAGCGCATGGCAGTCTTACTAATCGACACCTAATGAATTACAAGGTTGGTCAGGCATTCCTTTTTACAATGCGAACATTTTCTCGCATGATGTATAGAAGTAAGTCTTACGCTCATACATTGCAAGACCCATACCACTGTAGGCGCCGTCAAAATGCTCTGAACCTCTGGTGTGTCTAAATTTCAGACCACCTCCAATCTTTGGTTGAATGTGCAACGGCTTGAGCTCAAAAAAACTAAGACAGTACTCTAATTCGTCGATGATGATGAATAGGAATTAGACGTGAATGACAATGCATCTACAGCACCTCACAGGAATTGATTTACAGGCAGACAGGAGAGTTTGGCACTTGCCGGTAACTTTGTGACTTGTTAAAACTTGCACTCCTCCTACGTAGTACTTGCTTGTCGGCTTGTGTCGCCTACTGGCTTCATAAGCGCTGTTTGCACAACTTGAATCTGAATCATCTACCCAGGCGACTGCCTTTTAAAGTTGTCATTTACGTCACAGTCATACTATCGCTCAAAGGTGTATCTGCACTACTCCGATCAACGTGAACCACCCGCTACTGCTTAACATAAATGCACACACTACCTCGAGTTGTACTTTGAAATTCCACCACCACTGCTGCAGGGACTGTCTCGAGCGACCAATTCTACAGTTAGGGACTCGTCAGCTTCATATAAGTGTATGAAAAAGAACATGAAGGACTGTCGACCACAGCGATTTGGAGCCCCTTGGACGAAAAATTTGTTGAGGACAGGAGAAAAGCTAAGGGACACTGGTGGTTCACTGTAAGGCTTCCGTCTCGTTACCTGGACTCTTTGGGGAATCCGCTGCCATACATGCACACCACCCTCTCTCCCATACCGTCACAGTCTGATATCTTGGGAAACTTGGACACAGATCTTCCATACTACTATACATGCCGAGATATGGCAGAGGAGTACATCCTGCGAATCATTCCGCTGTCAAACATACATGGCGCTTTCCGTGTTTTGCGCGTTTTGGCAGAGGGAGGTTTTGCAAAGGCTCTGGGAGCTGAAGACCTAGCCACCAATCACTTGATATGTCTGAAGGTCTTTCAAAAGGACCATCTTAAACACAGGGGCACAGAAGAGGTCCTTTTGAACAAGCTAGAAGTGTACATGCGGCTTGTGTGGCAGTGGAGTCCTGCAACTATATTTCTGATGAAACTAGAAATGTTGTTCCAGACAAACAGCCATATTTGTTTTGCTATGGTATGTCATTCTCCCCTGCAAGTCATTTGAGCTGTTTGACTCCATTACATCTCCAGGAGTTAATGGCGAGTGATTTACAATGTTGCCTGAATTATTGTCCCGTATATTGCACTGAGAATGCTCGCAGGTGGAGTGCACAACTGGTGAGTAGTTGTCGCTCCTGGTTTTTGATGTCTCACGCCTCCGACTTTGAAGGCCCTCAGGATCAATGCTCTTCACACCATGGGCATCATCCACCGCGATATCAAACTGGTGGAGTGGTATGATGTGGTCTAGCTATGACAACCTGAGTGATGGTGATGATGTGCTATGGACATGTAGAGCTTTGACCTCGCTGACTCAGCTCTCGGAACCTCCCATGGCACTGCTCTCGCCTATCCCTCTGCCTGGAACCCCCTACTCCATGCACCCCCCTAAAAACAACTGGCACCGCCCTCGATGCCGTCTAACTCTCACTCTACATCAGCAAACCCCAATTTTCTCCACAGACATCGACATTTCCCACAGTTTCCCACAGTTTCCCACAGCGCCCCACAGCGGCACAGAGCTCACAGTAAATTTCTCCACAGACATCAACATTTTCGACAGTAACCCACAGCGGGACAGAGCTCACAGTATATTTCTCCCAGCATCGACATTTTTTGATAGTTCCCCACAGTAACCTACAGAGGGACAGAGCTCACAGGATGTACAGCTGCTTACAGTGTTTGTCAGTAAAATACTACCATTTCTCGAGCGCTACTACTACTATATAGTTCGGGCTATAATTATAATACATTTGAAGCACATTTTGAAGCACACTGGCATCCGCCAAGGTCAAGACAAAACAAAATCTCATGTCCGAATCATATTTTACTACTACTAGATACTAGTACTGCCAAATACAAGGTTTCTATTTGATACAACTCAAAAGAAGGTACTTGTCATTAGTCCAACTGGATGGTGACCTGATGGCAGGATGCGAATGAGTCTATAATACGAAGGTGTTAGTTGGTAGTACTATAAATGATAGGTGTACTTACCGTGAAGATTGTGTGGCGCTGGGTGGTGAGAAAGACCATGTTTCTTGAATGTGACGTGCATATGACCTAGTCCTACATCCGCCTTGTCAAGCTTCCACTTAGAAATGGCGGACTTGTATTTCGAAAGATTCATCATGACCTCGTATTCTCGGACGACGCAATCGGCAAGTGTTTTCTCTGCATTGAATATATCCCGTCGGGCCCTTGCGAGGTCCATGATGAGGTTAGCTTCAAGTTCATCAACATCGTTGATGGTCTGTGGGCACGTGAACAAATATTGCCTAGTAAGATATCAGTCACTTACCATCGAGCCAATAGCGTCAACTACATCGTACAAATCTGCGATACCACTGCCAGAGTCACCCAGAACATGGCTGGCTTGCCACTTATTGGTATGTCGAGGGCGCATATGTGACACTGATGGTACATCACTAGAGATATTTAAATGGATTGGTGCGTGGCTCGACTCGGACATGAGGGTTAGAAAAACTAAGATGTTCGGATTCCGGAATCAATATCATTACAGTTCAACTTCTCAGAATTCTCACGTGCACGCTATTATGTCATCATTCCAGTGTCCTTCGTGTGGCAAGGGCGGTTTCAAGAACGATGTCACTGTTGCTCATCACATGAGCCAACCTTGCTCTGGGTGCAGTACGTGGCTGCAGGATTTGATATGCTTGCGCTCCGAGTCTGATTCCCGTATGGACTCGGATGACGAACCAAATATTTCCATGGATATGGACGATGCCAGTGAACCGAATATGCCCGACATCGAGTCTGGTGGTTTGGGGGATTGGGATGAGATGTCTCGAGGGAGTACTAGTGGTAGTGAGAGCCAGGAAATGCCAACTCACAACTCGGAAGTTATCGACTCGTATCCTGACTGTGCTCAATCATACGGCAAGGGCTACACATTCCTCAATCTATTCAATTCCGACAATAACAGCAAACACCGTGCAACGAATCCGTATTACCCATTCAGCGGCCGGAAAGACTGGGAAGTTGGGTCGTGGCTCCTTCGCTCAGGATTGAGCATGGGGAAGATAGACAATTTTCTTTCGCTCGAGATGGTGAGTAACAAATTCTTTGATAATATTTACATTTTTCTTAAGTGGTTCAGATAAAGACCCTTCCATTGTCGTTCTGTTCGGCCAAGGAACTCCATGGTGGAGCAGAAATGTTGCCCAGCAGTCCGCGCTGGATGTCTCAGGTCATACCTACAAGATATCCTATGAAACCGCCCGTTGTGTTGTATTGGCGCGATCCTTTGGATTGTATTTCAAGCCTTCTCAATGTCATATCCCATACCTGAAGCTTCTCGTCCGGTCCGGTCCGTCCGTTCTCTCGGGTCTGTTCTAGAATTCATTTCCCTGTGTCCCCATTTGTATATGCTTCTTGATGCCCCTATATGCCCGGATCCTTCTGACAGTTAATATCCGGGTTCATTCTGATCTGTCCGTTAGTCTATTCATTTCCTTTTCATTTAACTTGTCCCCCCTGTTTCATTTAATCTCCGGCTCCATTCTCGATCGTCCACAGCAGTTCATATCCGTTAGTACATTTTCTACATAGCCCTCTGATCCGAAGACTGCGCTTCAGCCGGAAACCTGTCGGATACACATAGTATATAAACCCTTTGTAACCCGTAGTATTTCCTCAGTTCGAATATTAACTTAGACTCTGTTCAATCCTCGTGTCCTCTCGGCTCTTAGGATTATTATCCTAGTCCGATCCTCTGAGCCTTGGGATTATATCCCTAAGGCTAAATACCTCCGCCTCTACCTTCGGGTAGTCTATACCTTGTTAGTTTCTACCCGGACAAAGTCTCGGGTAGTCTTCCCTCTTTCGTCCGGCCCATCCATACCCCTCGGCCGACGATATCTGCCTCCTGTAAAATAGGGGCACATACTCGGGTAAAGAGCGCAGCGCACGAGCTGAAGCTAAGCCCCTCCGGTCTGACCCGTTGAACACGGTCTTAACACTCAACCATCCTGCCTTTCACGATCAGCTCGACTTTACGCCTCACAGGGTGTACACCACTGCGCAGAGGTTGTGTCACGTGTATTCGGAATGGATGACCGGTGATGACGCGTGGAATATGCAGGTACGCATAGTTTCATTTGTGCGAGTCATACTTATCAGTTTTCGGACAGTCAGCCCTACCAAGAGGTGCAACGCTCCTCGGGACCATATTATCGTCTGACAAGACAAATATATTGACCATGACGGGCGACAGAGTTGCACATCCCCTTCTCATTAGCCTTGCTAATATTCGCATGTCCACCCGACTAAAATCATCCTCGAATGCCTTTGTCCTTACTGCTCTACTCCCTGTCCCGAAATTCATCTACAAGAAGAAACACATGAGAGGTGTACTTGAGGATCGCCTCATTCATGAGTGCTTGGATATAGTTCTACGTCCACTTAAGGTAGCCGCCCGCGAAGGGGTCATGCTGTCAGATCCTGTTGGACACAGTCGCTACTGTTTTACACCACTCACGAGCTATATTGTCGACACCCCGGAGGCCATGATGCTGGCTGCCGTTGGCGGGAAAACCTCTCCGGTCACTATGGCCATGTACAAACAGTTTGGAGACCCTTTCCGTCATGAACCTCGTACACGAGCAACTACACTCTCCCAGCTTGCCAGCGCACGGAGTAAAGTTGATCCCGATGACATTGAGGCATTTTTTTGTGAGGCACAGAAGTTTCGTCTGAATGGCGTCAACACACCGTTCTGGCTGGATTGGCTCCTCAGTGATCCATCCCACTTTCTCACTCCCGAATTTCTTCACCTCATCCATCGCAAGTTCTACGACCACGATGCAAAGTGGCTCATTTGCGCAGTTGGTGATACAGAGATCGATTTTCGGTTCTCTGTGTTGCAGGCCATCACTGGGTTCCGTCATTTTCATGGCAGGATTTCAAAACTTAAACAGGTTGCAGGACGCGCTCAACACAACATCCAGCGCTCAATTGTCGCAGTCAGTGCAGACGCAGTACCTAGTACCATGATAACTGCCGTATGAGCTCTCATGGACTTTCGGTACCTTGTACAGTCACCCGTAATCGACGACACTCAACTCGCCCGTATTTCCACGGCCCCCGAAGAATTTCATGCCAACAAAGATGCAATTATAGACGGAGGATTTCGTCGTGGTCAGTGCGGTGGAGTCATTGAGAACTGGTACATACCGAAGCTAGAACTCATGCAGTCCATAGTTCCGAGCATAAGGAACACTGGAGTTCCTCTGCAATGGACTGCCGACACCACCGAGCACGCGCACATAACGGAAATCAAGGATCCTGCTTGCTCGAGCAATAACAAGAATTACGATCCCCAGATATGTCGCCACCTTGACCGTACCGATAAATGCCGCCACTTTGACCTCGCTATGAGTCTGCTCAACAATATGACAGACTCGAAGTGGCAGGGCTCAGATGACGTTGGCGATGTCAACAACAATGTTGATCTCGAGGAACCATGTGCTATCTAGTTACCTTGGACAATGAAGATTATATCATCAAGGATCATTGGGTTCTGGGTAAGGACAATAAAGTAGTCCTGAACGAGATCAAGATGCTCGAACTAATGGACAATGTCCCTGGCGTTCCAAAGCTGGTGGATTACTGGGTTGTTGAGCGGTCAGATGGTGAACCTGACATCACCCGCAAATATTGACAAAAGGAACACCGGAGTACCAGAGGCACCAGTCGCACTCATGTGCATCTCGTCTTGAAACCATGTGGTCGACCGCTTCACATGTTCCGCACACTTAAGGAGTTTGTGCGAGCGCTAAGGGATATCATAAAGAGTAAGCATCAGCATCTAGTTCGTGGTATAGGTGTCTTAAACTGATGCTCTCTGATTTTAGTCCAACAAACTGTGGTGGAGGAATGCCAGATTTTGCATCGGGACTGTAGCCTCAACAATGCGATGATCCTAGACGACCTTTGCGGTAGTGAAGGCTTTCTTATTGACTGGGAGTTCACGGTTCGCATTACCGCGGATAACAAATATCCCATCGGTGGTACAGTAAGTACACCTTTTTTATTAAATATACAGTTTATTTATTCATTTTCCAGGGCACAGTCCCTTTCATGTCACGCGGGCTTCTCAACCAGGTCGCAATCCTGCAGCAACAGGCGAACTCGCAATCGCAATCGGCGAAGAAGCCGATAACCCCGAAATCATCCTCTGATTCTTCGGCTCTGCCGATATCATTTGTTGTTCAAGGTTACGCGGATGACCTGGAGTCCCTTTTTTTGTGTTCGCTTGGGTTTGCATCAAGTTCAGCGGTCCCAACGGCATGGTGCGCGAGCCCTTACCCAATTCCTTACTGGATTGATGGACAAGCCTTGACTTGGCATCATGCGCCGCTTTCAAGATCACCTTTTTCGCGAATCCAGCAGATGAAAAGTGTCTTACTGACGAATTTCACCCGTACTTCAAGGACCTGATCCCCCTCGCAACACAGTGGCATAGAGCTTTGGTGGACAACATGATCCACCCCGTCACCTTCAGTACCATTCTTGGTATACTCAACTCGCATCTTGACAAGCTCTCCAATGACGAGGAGCTCGCATCTACTATGAGCATGCTCAGGGGTGATGCTGTCATTCCCTACTAGTTCACCTACGAGCACATCACTGTTTGCTCCTACCAGTATACTAGTAGTTCTCTTCCTCTTCACATTAATCGACAGTCTCTTCTACGTACTACTAATGCACTGGCTCATGCCCCAGGTACTACTATGTCTCATCAACAATGTTTTTGCTTATGTGATCAAAATTTGAATGTTTCCGAATCTCAACTGATGTGATGCCATCATGTGCAAGAATGACGTCCAATTGACTCAGGTGAGAAACTTTTTCTTAACTGACGTGTGTTTGTAGTCAATTTGCAGCACATCTTCTCTCGCTAGTCCCATCCAAATATCGAGTACGAGTCATGATACACAACTCTTGCGACACATCGACTCAGGTGTGTTTCTTTATTACCATCATTACTAACAACAAAGTTTTTCTCTCGCTAGTCGTCCGAATATCGAGTATGGAGACATGATATAAAATCCTTGTGAGTCTGGTATAATTCGTTATCGTTGCCTAGATCTTCCTGTTCTTTATTGCAGTGATGCTTCCCCATGCTGTTACCAGTCCCAAGAAGAAACGGTCCAAGCGCAAAGGATCCGATGCTTCAAAGACTGGCTTGCCAAAGAAGTCACGGGCTGCAGACACCACTGAGGTACCCAGCATGGTACCTCTCGTGTCCCTCGGCCTGACTGGAGCAGAAGCAGCAAATGATGCTCCCCGACGTTCTGGCCGCTCTAATGCAGGAACTGGAGGTAGGAACGCCCAGCTGGAGAAGATCGGATTAGTGCTACAATCTAAGCCTCAAACTCACGAACTGACGTCCCTTTGTCCCAATGTTCCAGTCAATCCTCAAGCCCCAGAGCCACATCGTAAAGGTCGAAAGAAGGGTTCTAAGGTAAGTGTCTGATTAATCTTGTCACTCGTGTTGACTGTCCCATAGGCGGTTCCTCCACCGTACTCACTCATCAGCGATGCTCCAGATGCCTCAGCCATGGATATCACAGGGCCCAGCTTGACATTACAACAACCTGGCAGAAGGTTTGGATTTGCTCCTGCAAGCACCACAGACATTGTTCATCCCGGTACTGCTGAGCCCACTCTTCAGGCGTCGGATAACCCATATGTCACCGTTGGGATGAAGGTCGCGGAGCAGCGCACTCGTAATGCGGTCGCTGAGCAGCGAGCTCTGGACGCTATCGCTGAGCAGCGCGCTCAGGACACTATTGCTGAACAGCGAGCTCAGGAGGCTATCGCTGAGAAACGAGCTCGGGAGGCTATCGCTGAGCAGCGAGCCCGCGATGCTGTCGCTGAAAATCCAGTGGTATATCCGAGGTCCGTCTTTTTGGAGCACAACTTAGACCCAGCTCTGCGCCAGCAGGATGACACTGTCAGGGCTCAACGTTGTCTGAGGCTGCTAGGATACGAGGAGGACGGTGACTCCAAAGGCAGCAGCAGCGACGACAGCGACGACAAAGATCCCGACGGAGAGGCTGACGGAGAGGATGATGAAGAGGGGGAGAACGATGACACAGTCAAGAGCTCGCAGGAGTTTGGTTGGGGGGAGGCTGGCCGGCGCCAGAAAGAACATCCAGGTGAACATCTTTGTGGCATGATTTCGATTTCCCTTCGCTAATTTGATATTATAGGATTTTTGGAGGATGCACTACCTTCGCAACCTCCAGTCGCCACTTGGCCTCTCACACCTGAATTCCAATTCCAGTACCCGCGCGACGAAGATGATGCGGTTGCCTCGATGAGCCTTGATCAAATCTCCATAAGTTTTCTAGTCTAGCCAAGACCGACTTAATTCATATTGTTTGTCCAGCGGAACGAAAGCTCTCAGGTATGATCACATCTAGTAGTGCCACGGCTCGGCTATGGCTGGCTCCGGTTCGGTATTTACCGGTTTGCCAGAAGTTCGGCGATACCCGTTAGCCAAGCCACTGATCACTGACTTGGTCCGATTCATTAGCCATGTGAACCAGCTACAACTTTTACAAGCCAAAAATTTATGAACCGCGGCTTGAACCGCTTTAAGCCAGCTCAAGCCAGCTCAAGCTACGTGGTTGTGTGTAAGAATAGCTTTTTTGTTGCCTCCAGTGTTGTTGGTCGGATTCCCTGGATTTCTCTAGTCGTGGGCTATTGTTACTTGTATACACTATGGATAAGGTCCCCGTTCGAGTTGATGGAAGATTTAGGTTAGGAGATGTATTGGGATCCGGCTTGTATGGTATGTTATTTTCATATCATGATTACTGACTACATGTTTAATTTGACATTGAAACCCCATTAGCTGTCGTGTATCGTGCACGGAACATCATAAAGGATGATGCAGTTGCCGTCAAACTCGAACCCATCACCCGCTCATCTTCCGTGCAGCGCGAATACAACATTTTGAAACACCTTGAAGGTGGTGTTGGTATTCCCCGCGCCCTCTGGTTCGGTAGGGAGTCGACATATCATGCTCTCGTTCTCGATCTCCTTGGGCCATCCCTCCACAGTCTCTTCCTTTCCCACAGCCGAAAATTCAGCCTTGACACTGTCATAAATCTAGGAGATCAGCTGGTCAGTCGGTGTGCGGGTTGCATCATGCATGTACAGATCACTAACCCCTTTCCCCAGCTCTCACGTCTCGAATACATTCACTCGCACAGTTATATTCACGGTGACATCAAACCACAAAATGTTGTTCTGGGTCTTGGCGATTTGAAGCACACCACCTTTATTATTGATTTCGGCATCGCGAAGGAATTCTGGAATATGTCAACCAGTGTCCATATTCCATTTCGCCAAGGTCAACGTCTCACTGGCACTCCTGCATTTGCGTCAATCAACAATCACTTGGGAGTCGAACCAGGCCGTCGTGACGATCTCGAGTCACTTACGTACATGTTGATATACTTCTTGCAGGGCTCCCTTCCATGGTTAACCAGTGACCAAGAGAAACTTTCCAGCGCTTCCATACTCGAGCGCAAAGTGAACACCACCATCGAAGATTTATGTCATGGAATTCCTGTCGAGTTCGCAACAATTCTCATTTACACGCGCTCACTCGCATTCTCAGAGGATCCCGACTATAACCACCTTCGCTCATTGCTTCACGTACTTCGTTCTACACCACCTGCACCAGCTGCGTGCTTGCTGGATATTACCCAGCCTGATGTACCTATCACACATTCCCCTCCATTCTTCGGACCCTGTGTAATTGAGGCAGTGCCTCCATGCCCGCCGCTTCGCAGATCGACTCGTGTGTGAGTAGTCCATTTATCTTAGTACTTACGAACTAATGTGATTGCAATTTGCAAGTTTGCGCCCACGAAATGACTCCCCGTTACATGCAACATCTTCAACTCCACGCCGGAAAAGACCTAGATCATGATGCTATTGGACACCTGTATGGAGTAGTTTGTACAAGCAAGTACTGTACGCGTACTTTGTGATATAGTAGGATTCATATACAATTTCTTACAACGAGCTTTGCAGCATACATATGACGTGGCGGATGCAATAACCACCGAACCGGATGTATTGATATCTGAAAAACTTCCACTCCCACGCAGCGCCTCTTATCTTTCAACATCCTGCAGGCTGCAGCCCTGCCTGGAGATGGCCTTCGTAACTCGCGAGGGACTCATCGTGACTTCCTGAATCATCACAATCGGCAATACAGCCATACCACATAATAACGACGACTCAGTGAGTGCTTATCGATGGAAATCTTGTTTTGATCATATCAATCATTCAACTACACCTGAGGATGAAGACGTACTGTGCTCGATTTCAAGCCGTTGGACCCTCTGGAGTCTGGAGTTTCAAGCTGGAGTTGATTCTCTGCAGGTATGCACAATTGCGGGAGTTTTTTTTCACCCCCCACTCACCGCTGAATTAGATTTAACTTGCATGAGGCATGTATGAGTTGCGGACTCATACCTCGTGACAATTGTTCTCTGGGCTTTTCCATCAGGGACTCAAGATCACTGCACATCGGCATGTTCTGGGGTTTCCCCAGATGTCATGATATATCTAGACCGGTAATTCTGCTGTTAGTTGGATCATCACCACCACCGCCACCAACATGCCTCCTCGACGGAAGAACACTACCCGGCTTACTGCCAGAGCCGCTGTCGCTGTCCCCACCGTTGATCCTGTTCCTCCCGCTCCTATCGCTCCAATTCCCATTGCTGTTACCGTTACTCCCACAGCTGCTCCCGCTCCAATCGCTGCTGCAGTGAATGCAAATATACTTCGTAACCCTCAAAGGCATCGTCAGCGTCCCGTTAGATTTCGTGAAAATGCCTCAGATGACGGGGAATCCTTCCACCTTGAGAACGTCTCTGGGGGTGAGGAGGACGAAGTGGTCAACCCACCTGCGCCTGCAGTTGGGCCTGCTGCAGGCCATAGTCCACTGCAGACCGCGATGAGTACCATTCTAACCGACCCTCTGGCCACTGGTGGCCGAGTCAAACTGCCTAAATCCTCTGCCGATGTCCACTTCTTCTTCAGACAGGACCCTGACACTCGGTCGAATATATGCATAGCCTGCGAGTAAGTATCGTGTCTGGAGTCTATCATTTTTTCTGACATCCTTCACCAGAAAAATCCATGCGAACGACGACACTCACCACGTCATGTCATACCTTCATAGTACAGGCACTTCAGCTCGTCGTGCACACGCCTTCAACGACCATACTGAGATTTACCTGGAGGAGGCAGAGCGTCAGCACTGGCATGTCCTCCATAAGTCATCACGTTTGAATACTTTTTTGGATGAAGGCTGGACGGTCGCGACCATGCGTCAAAGGCTGAAGGATCCGGCTTACACGCTAGACTCACTCGGTACTCCCCCTACTCCTGGCCCACTCCCCGGCACTAGCCTGTCAGTTCCAGACGATGCATTGCCTGCATTTAGTCTGGACGAAATGCACAAACAGATCGTCAAATTCATCATTGCGGACGACCAGGTGAGTCAATGTATACTTTCTACACACAATGTTCAATAATTGTCCTCAGGCGATAAATATTATTGAATGTCCGGAATTTCGTCGTCTGATCCGTCTTCTGCGGCCATCGGTGACCGAGAGCGATATATTTCACCGTACCAAAGTTCGCGAGTTAGTTATTGACGCTTTTCATGAATACTTCAATGCGTTGAAGAGGGATCTTGCGGTAAGTCTACAGCTGTCAAGACCCTACAAAGCACCTTATATTTTTTAGGCCGCCCAGGGAAAGGTCGCATTCACATCTGACCTCTGGTCGGATTCTAACATTCGCCCATTCATGGCACTTACAGCTCATTGGATTGCTAAGGCCGACCACAGTTCCATGCTCGTTCTGAGGGCTGCACTTATAGGATTCCATCACATTCCAGGCAGTCACACTGGCGAATTCCTGGCAGGAGTCCTCTTGCATCTTCTTGATTCGCGCCGCTGTGACTAAAAAGGTCAGTGTTTAATTGTACCGTATAACACGCTCTGACTTTGTTTAGACTGGTCATTTTACCTTAGACAACGCCGCAAGCAACCAGGTTTCCATGCGAGCGCTTTCAGAGAAACTGGCGTGCCGTGGTGTTGATTTTCACCCCATCGAGCACAGAATCCCATGCTTCCCACATATCATCAATATATGTGTCAAGCATATTATTGATGAATACCACAAGGCCGACTTTTCGCTCGTGAACGAACATTGGGTAGTCGGCGATCGCACGATCATCAAGGCGGAGTACCTAGAAGCAGTGACAGGGAAAGCTATCAGCAGAGCTAGGGACCTTGTGCGCACGGTTCGCGCGTCCAACCAGCGACGTAATTCTTTCAGGGACACAATCGTCACAGGTAACGAGAAGGAGTGGTTCCAAGATGACGCGGGCAAGACACTACGCCTCCCTGTCGTCGAACTCCTGCTTGATGAGGCAACCCGTTGGGATTCAGTCTACATCATGCTCAACCGTTTACGAGCCCTTCACCAGGTAAGGCATCACGCATGAAATATTTGTCATAAGCTAATATTTTACCCAGGCAGTAGATTTATTTTTCGACTCTCCCACTCAGCGCTCCATCAGCAAGTTCAAGTTGAGTCCGATGGAGTGGCAGTTCCTACAGGATGTCGAAGTAATCCTAGAGGTTAGTTTTAGTATCTTCGAAACTTCCGGTCCATCTGATCATTCTATACTAGGCGCCCCACGCTGCCCAACAATCCATGTCGGGCGAACGCACTCCCATGCTAAGTGGTACATACCCGGCATTCGAAACGTTGATTGAGCGGTGGATTTCTTTGGCCAAACACGTCCCACACTGCGGCCCTCTTGTTGAGATAGGTTTGATTTGGGCAGATAAGTATGACGACAGGCTGGGCGCCACAAATGCCTATGCAGTCGCTATGCGTGAGTCTGGTATATTTTTTAAATATTTGGTTGCTCACGATTGCATTTATAGTTGTTGATCCTGCGGTCCGAATGTCATGGGTTCGGAGTCATTGGGCGGAACAACTGGTTAAAGATGTAGAGAAACATATCATCGATCTGGTACGTCTGTCAAACCAATATCAACGCAACTTTGATCTAATATTAGCACACACAGATGCATCAAAAACGAACCACGAACAGCTCAGCACCCGTCGCGCCTCCAGCTAATGAAGTAAGACCTCAGCGACAACTGCCCTCGCTAGGCTCCCGTCTTTATAATCTTCCTGACATTGGCGTCCTGCCATGTCACAACAGTGGCGCCCAAACAGTCGAGCAAGAATTCGAGGCCTACTCTACGGCTAATCTCAGCCCCAAGGGAACAGATATACTTGGGCTCTGGATGGTAAGCGTCCCATATCTCTACAATTAAAATATTTATTGACCATGAGGTGTTCACCAGGTCTCGGAGACCTTATTTCCGACGCTTTATGGCATCGCGATGGACTACCTCCCTATACAGGCATCTGCCGTTCCATGCGAGCGAGTATTTTCGTCCAGTAGTGAGACGGACACGAAGAAACGTAATCGCATGAGCCCGGTCCTGATGGAGGCCCTGCAAGTGGTAAAGTTTCTCGTGAAAAAAGAACGACTTAACTTTACGAAAGGTTGGGCAGCGTCGCAAAAGGCTATGGAGTATCAGGCGTTGGGCGAGGGAGAGGAGACTAACACTCTTTTGACATTTTCCAGCAGCGGAATGACAGGTGATGTTTATGACACCCTCCTCAGAGCTATTGCAGAGGAGGAGTGTGATGATATTGATGATACTCCTATCACCTACGACATGTGATGTTTGCTTTTACTCTTCGTTTCTTCTTTGCGCTACTTCCCAATGTCTCTCGCGTGGTATTATGATTTCAATTTTCAACTATATATTCTCTCTTTGCTTGACTGTCTTTCTTTCACCACTTTCATTTGCTGAGTGTCACCTCGCTCTGATGATTTATGACATCGTGAAGGTGACGGTATCTACCATGCATCTTCTGCGCTATAATCCTCTCAGTACTAGGTGCGCCTTTTTTTCTCCCATCTTTATGATTGCTAAACCATTGTTATTAGAGTGGAACGGCTGATACGAGTGTAAGTCCCTCACCATACTCAGCCTGATCTATGGTGGCATTGGATATATCATCATGTTGTCCGGTCTCGTTGTCTTCTTTTGTGCTGCCCCATTGGCATTCATCGCCTTGCACTTGGTGCGCCACACTGAGCCCCCCTTAGTTGCGCCTTCAGATGGCAGTTGGGGCATGAGTCCCTGGCTGAAATCTTGGTTATGACCAGGGTGCTGCTGCATGATCAGCGCCTGAAGTTCTTCCAGGATAGACGACGCGTCAGCTGCCAGTGGAATTTAAATACACGCACGTACGTCCTCAACTAAATTTCCCCTTCTCTCAGCAGTTTCATCCTTTTACTTGACCGTGTGAAACGCGCCAATGCCAGCAGAGGGACGTCTCGAGACTCGATGGTACCAGTTGTTTTTCGTTTGGTTCTCCCCTTGCATGAATATCTTGGCGTGCGTCTTCACTTTTACCTTGGTCCTCACGCCATCCCCTGAATATCCAACACCTGCAGATTCAGCGCTGGCACTACTGGACCTGGATTTTATTCCCTGGGAGTTCGCGACTCCATGGCTATCATCGTCACCATTAACCTGGTGTAAGTCTCAACAGTTCACCAACTCTTGATCTGCAGTGAATGACTTGTCAACTAGATGTTGTTTATTGCCAGCGTTCTTGTGGGTTTTGTTTTTGTTCTCCGGCCATCTCTGGGGACTTCATATTGCGCTAGTGCTGTTTTCGGGCCAAAGCTTGGCATGCGAGCGATGGTACAAGCAAGGTTCTCATGGGGGTAAGTTATGTTTTTGATTGCCAGTATCGTTTGCTGATGAACCATCAAGGTATTTCACGGCCTAATATTAACTCACAATGAATTGCGTGAGCAATACAACATTTTACTTCCACCGGACGCTGAACATCAACTTTTACAGCTGCCGAGAGCGGCGATGGTGCAACTCCTGTTTGCAGGTTCACCCTCGTCTCATGAGTCTCATCCCCAGCAACGATATCGATCCTGGATTAACAGTCGACAATTACTCAGCGGAGATTGAGAGTGAGGTCGACGCCATTTACAAGCACATGTATGATGAACAGACATCTATCGACGAAGTCATCACCCTTCTCCAACGCAGCGAAGTTTCGTCTGATACTTGTGACCACGATATTTTCTCCTGCATGCTTCACTTCCTCTTCGACGAATACAAGTTCTTCCAATCATACTACCCCGCTTGCGAGCTTGCCATGACCGGATATCTATTTGGCTCCATCATTCATCATGATCTCGTGGATTCAGTTCCTCTCGGAATTGCCATCCGTTACGTTGTCGACGCCCTCAACTGTCCCCCCGACACCAATCTTTTTAAGTTTGGTCTCCAAGCCCTCTCTCGCTTTGAATCCCGCCTTGCTGAATGGCAGCCTCTGTGTCAGGCTCTTCTCAGAATCCCCCATCTTATGGAGGTTCGGCCCGATCTGGCAGCCGTCATTCACCATGCTATCGCTGTTGGTGGCGACGGATCACGCAGTAACGTTGATATGCGCGGAATCTCTGCTGGTCTTACGGCTGACCCTGCGCCTGTGTTTACCTCCATCCACCCCGACAAGTTTGATGCCGAGATCGTCGAGCCCCCAGAGGAGATATCTGACAAAATTTTGTTCATTGTCAACAACCTCGCGCCCAGCAACCATTAATCCTTTCTACGCCGCCGCCGCACCCTCTTACTCCCCAACTTCCAAGCTACCTCCATCATCTCCACTTTTTCACCAAGAAGGCTGGCGCTCCCTTCAAACGGTCATTTTAACCCGCCACCTCCAGCGTGTCCACGGCTAGAACAACAACAGAAACTTGCAGAGGTGCTGTGCACACGGGCTGAAGCGGAGGATCGGGGAGAGGATGTGGAGCGGCTTATGAGTTTCATGGTAGGGGATGTTGTAGATGATGCTCACGCGGCTCGACAGCGCTACACCCGCCCTTCCCGACCACGCATCTTCAACACCCAACGCCGCCACCTCAATCTCCATGGGACCCGCACTTTTTTGCAGCGTTTCTTCATCACGGATGGCTCGTGTAGCTGCCGTGGGGGATAAACACAGTATAATTCCTTATTTACCTTAGTTTTAGATCAAACGCTAATGAAATAACGACTCACTGGATCTTGGGGGGCCATTAGCGCTCGTGTGCTTATTGATCGTGCGTAGGTAGTTTGATCTTCGATAGTTCTAAATTAAAATCTATTTTTAATCTATAGTTTAAAATAAATATCTAAGCCCCCAAATTGACTTGGCTTGAGCTGAGTCAAAGCTTAAAATAAGCCCGAAGTCACATGTATGGCCCCGGCTTAAACCGGCAATAAGCCGGAGCCACGACAACACTAGGCTCAAATGACCGGACTGAGCCATGTATTATGTAAGCTTTATTTTGTACACAGCTAGCCTAATTGTAGCTCCGCTCTCGGCTAAAGCCGGCCTCAAGCCAGAGCTGCGGCAACACTAATCACATCACTCAATTGTGACACGCTTACATGTCTTTTCTTTCAAGGGCCCTCCAGACATCTCACCAGGCCTACAGCGGCAACAGTCCCAACACATTGAGGTGAGATTAGAAATCGTTTTAATTGGCGCTCACAATTAAGTAGACCATTACCTCGAAGCCCGACGATGTATTGCAACACCACCATAAGAAAAACAGAAAGCCTCGTCTTCCTGACCCTGACTCCCTCAAGCTGCTAAATCAAGTGACTGATTCTAGTGTTCAGCCATCAAGAGCCAAAAGGTCCAAGTCATCGGGCGGTGGGCCAACACCCGATCAACTATCTTGGTATGGCCCGCGCTGGAAGCGTTTTCTGGAGGATGCTAAAGTGGAATGTTGCGCACAACATGCCCTCAAGAATCTGTTTCCAGCTTTGGTAAAGAACCTACCAGGAACAATCACCGAGGTTCTTATCGCAATGTTGGTCGTGTGGGATAGGAACAGTAAGCAATTTGAAGCTGGTGAGTGCTTGTTCGTTCTCATTCGTTCTCAGACTAATCTGTCATTGCAGGGGTTTGGCCTGACCAAAAGTTCAACATGTCTCGCTTGGTGCATATATAACTTATTCTGTGCCGATATATCGCTGACGGTCTATACTAAAGCTGTACGATGACCTTTCAACCTGGCGATCAGACTTGAAGAAAACTGCCATAAGCATTGCACCACTATCATATTCGCTCATTCCCCCGCTTTCGGTCCCCGCTCAAGAACGTGCTACTTGGATCGAACATGCGGCTGCTGAACTAATCAAAGAATCGCTATTCTTACGGTTTGGGGTGGACGAACAGGTGAGTGATCTTGCGCTGATCGCAACTGTACTGACAGAAGATTGCCAGGGGAAAACGCGAAATTTCGCTCATTCTGCCCTTCGTGAGGCTGCCATCACGTTCTTTTACACAGGACCGTATCAAATCGCACAAAGGATGCCAGATATCTTCCGTGCGCAGTTGCCGCGTTGGTAAGTCATCTCCTTTACCAATATTGTATTTATTTTATTTTTCTATACTAGTTCAATTGCGTTCTCAACGGCCTTGCGAAAAACGGACATGGAAAGTCATACCCGAATTTTTCAAGCAAGGACTACAGCCCAATTTACAACCGGATGCTCGTATTTCTCAAAGATATCCTCGATGATGCACATCATGGTCCAAGGCTGACAGCTCAACTGCGAGAATGGGCTGCAGCGGGAAGGTAAGGATCTCCACCCTCTCCGAAAACTTTCTATTTATACTAATTTCATTTGCACAGGGCCGTGGCGCTGAATCTCGAAGGAGTTGTTGAGGCGAAGCACAACCACCTGAAAATTCTTCTCGACTAGTTTTCTATTCACGCGCCCCTATTTCATCACCACATTTATCATTTTAGGCACCATTGCATCATTATGTTCCCGATCGCGATTTAGTACCGTCTGTCTAGTCATGTGATTGAATATATTTGTTTTGTTTTTGTCCAGTATAGTGTGAGCAGTACAGCGAGCAATATCTGCACAGCTCCGGTTCTCTGTGAGCATCTGTACATACATGGACAGCATTTTTTTTTAAGAATTTTGTAGTTACTGGGTGATCTGTGAGTCTCTGTACAGAGACTCACAGGGTGTTCTGTGGATGTCTGTACAGAGATTCACAGAGCAAGGTGCTACTGTGGTGAACTGGCTAACAGGGACCAAGCTGTGGAGCTTGCATGCTGTACAGCGCCAAGTAGTTTACTGATGTATGGTCTCCTCAATCTCCTCTTCTAACTCCTCCTCTTTGTCTATACTCTCATCTACACTTTTGGCTGCTTCATCGTCATTTTCATCAACATTTCCTATAGCGCTTTGTTCTGTTGCTGCTTCCCGAAGTTTTCTTTCGTACATCTCTTGTTCTTTTGCTAACTGTGTGCCCTCTCTTGGTGTGAACACACATAGACATCTTGCGCTAAAGTCGCTGTAGAGAGCAATATCTCTACAAGCTCGTATCACCCTATTTCCACATCGACCTCATCACTATCCATAGGTAGGCGCAGCCCTGTAGACACACGCACAATGTACACGACCAACTGCGCTCTTGCGCACAATATGCGTGTCTTGCGCGCATAGCTACTCACCAGCGCCCTACTTGGATTACCCTCACATGTCATGTCCTGTCTGTCCGGCTCTGTTGGTGCGTGTTCTCACTGTTATATCCGTCGCTGACCACATCCAGGGTCCTTTACATATTGACTTATCACACATCCGCTTCCCTATGCACTTCCCTTACGGTTTTGCACCCTGAGAGTGTGCGTAGCGACTTACATATCTAGAGGACTTAGAGGATTTTCGGGGGGACTTACCTTCGGTTACTGGGACTCACTATCTGTTTTTCTGCCTAGTCGCGCATAGAGCGCTAATATCATCACTGCCATTGTCTATCATCTCCTTTGTCTCCTAAGACTCGCCTATCAGTTCTCAGAAGGATTTCAATTGACTTCCGTCGCTGATTCTCTACTTCACGCATATTGCGCGCCTTCCGACTCATCCGCATATCTCGCACATCGCATGCGTCCATCGCATCGGCTCCACGCATCTTCGTGCACCTTCGCATATCTTCAGCATCAGCTATTCTCTTGATCCCTCTCATTATTAGAGAGATTGTCTCAGTAGAATCCCCTAAGGGATGATCCTACTAGCTCGCCTCTCGAGGTAGATACCCCCGTGACTCCCCGGAGTTTGCATCTATATTTTCCTCACCCACATCACCTTGTAGCAATTCCCCTTCAAGGGTTTCCAATTTATATGAGTTTAATGCTCTTGACCATATGCGGTGTAGGGAACATCCATTTTCTGGCCTCACAATTGATGTTTTACTTACTTTATGTTGGTACTCTTACTGCTGACATAATCCAGTGAATCTTTCACCAGTAACCAGTCTGGGTAAGAGTCTGTCTGAAAGTCCCCCTGTCTTTTCATCTGCTATCTTGATGTTTTCATGTCCTTGAGCACTGAGCCTGGAGCAGATGCCCTTTAGGGTTGAACTAGCCTAGGCCAGCAAGACCCAACATTTCCCTGCACCTCAGCAGGATTGTTGTACCCACAGCAGCGTGGAACTGACCACTTCAGGATCAACTTCCGTTCAGTTTTAAATGTATAGTCTAAATCATTTCAGTAGACTTGAACTAATTGACCTGATTTGAAAGTGATCTCACCGGGTGCGCGCTGTAGAACCTTTTTGTCAAAGGCCGTTTTCCTTCTAACAGCGTGTCTTATTGCTTCCTCATAGCCATCTAGCCTCTGTTGCTCGATGTATGCTATTTGAGTTGATACGTTAGGGTTTCGAAGCACTGAGGTACTGTCTTCTAACGGTGTGGGTGGCATGTTGACAATGAGACCTAGCAATAGCTCCTTTGGTGAAAATTTGAGTGTGGGAAGTAGACAATGATTGAGTGCGTGGACTGCAGCGTCTAAATGGTCCGGCCACGACTTTGGGAGCTTATCCCAGGAAGTTGGTGTGGTGTTGTCTTCTCCTAGTTCCGGTGTAGGAGACAATCTGGCTGCAGCCCCATACGGCACCATTTCCCCTTACTGGATGAAGTCACGCATACCTTCCACAGGCCGTTGCGGACCATCACACGAGGTTGCGGAATCCACGCACTCATTGCATTGCATTGCATTGCAATGCACTATCCGTCCATGTCCTGTCTGCATCCATCCGTCCTCACTGGTGCGTTCTCATCCTTAGTTAGTCATTCCTAAACCGTTCACAGGGCCAGTTACATATAAGTTCCCATACACGAGGCCGCGTACCATTACTTACATGTATCTCCTTCCGACTTTGCTTGCATATGCGTCCGCTTATACGGTTCCGGGTTCTTACGGACTCTGTTATATACTACGTCTCAGACTGGTACGGACCTTACTTTCCTACATTCCCTCTCTCTGGTTGTGTGTTGCGGAGTCACTAGCTTAGTCTTACCTTGTCTTTCCTTGCTTGAGCAATCACTTGTTTGCCTTCTCATCCCGCGCGAACGCTCGCATCGCCATTGACAGTTGACTATTACTAGTCCTAGTTGAGTTCCTTTGCAAGGCGGTTTCTGCACGTCTTCGCATATACCTGGTACCTAGTTCACTCTACCCGTTTACCTGTTCTGATACCTGGTACTCTACCTGTTCCGCATACCTGGTACCCTACCTGTTCTGCATACCTGGTACCCTCTAGACATTCACTCATTTCTTTGCATCCGCATACCTCGCATCTCCGCATACCTTGCATCTCCGCGCATTCTTGCATCTCCACATCTCCTTGCATACACAGCCGTTCTGTCTTCAGCGCATCACTTCCTTCTTCACTGTTCCCCTCGCTCATACTTGAGGAACTGCTCTCAGAGCTATCCCCTTGGGTCGACTACTATTCTCGCACCCAGCAGGATCGGTACGCTATCACTATAGCGGACTTCTACAATTTCTCCCACACCGGTGCGCAAAGGGGCTTTAGAACATGTAGAAGGAGCTTATTAGTTCCTTCTATGAGCCTGTTGACCCACAGCGAGTATGCTGCAACAATGTGTAATTTACATGATCTCGAGGTACAAAAATCTCTCACTGCATCATTATTAAAATGCTTTCCTCCATCCACCATAAATGTTTCCGGTCCCACAAACACGTTCAATATTTTGGTAAGACTGTCGATTGTCGTTGCTGCGCTTCCCAAAGTCTTATACTTTAATATCCAGACATGTTGTGAAAATGTGTCGAGGTACACTCCCAGTGTACTGTATCCGCCTTTCCCTTTGGGCAAGGCTAAATAGTCTCCAACTAGGAGAATGGGTGACACCTGGTTATAGGTTCTAGTAGTGAGTGCAGGTGGGTGGGGCCAAACTTTTTACAATTAGTGCAGTTTTTGATAGCAGTCATGATTGTGGCGTCCAGTTGTGGGCAACAGATGTGGTCTAACAGTGTGATTTTGATGGCATCACAACCCCAATGCCCACCTTCTGTGTGCTCTTGCTTAGCCAGTTCTTCAGCTTCTGTTTTGGTAATGCATTCAACCCGAGCTCTCACTCTTGTCGTAGTGCCTCCTCGTAGTCACCATAACTTACCATCCTCTATGATGTATTCTGAGGCCCTGTGCCTTGCACGTCTTCTTCTTGGGATGTCCTTGTTTTGGTCTAAGCCTCCTATGGCTTCAACTACTTCCTGAAATATTTGTTCATTAGCGAAGCGGGTGCGAAGAGTTTCTATAGCTGGATCTGAAGCCACTTTGGAGACAAGCATGATATCGCTAGTTAGTCCGGTGTGTGCCTCCCAGTTTTCGCTAATGGTCCATTCACTTCCGTCATTAGCAGTTCTTCGTTTACCTTCCCATTTGCGGCTTAGTCCATCTGCTATGATGTTAAGCCTTCCTGGAATGTGTCGTACATCGGTTATGTTGTATGACAGTATTTCTTCCCTCCAATGTGCGTGCACGGCTGTTAAATTAGAGTTTAGCAAGGTGTCTTTCAGTGTGTTGCAATCTGTCTCGATCTCAATTGGAAAGCCCCATATAATGTTTGAAAATTTATCTAGAGAGAATTTTAGTGCAGCAAATTTGAGGAGATAGGATTTATACTGCTGTTCTGTTGTTGAGATTCGTTTTGATGTAAATCCTATAGGGTATAGCTTCTCAACCCAGCGTCCTTGCAGTGTTTGCATTCAGACTTTCTGCGACAGTGCTCCTGCGAATCCTTCTGTGCACCTGTCTATCCTTAAGACAAAGGGTGATCCATTGTATTGCGGGCCTTGCACTACTGGTCTCGAGGTTACTGCGGTTTTCAAATCTAAGAAGGTGCGTGTGTGTTCTGCCTTCCAGTGTGGTGCTAATTTGAAGCCGCTCATGATCCTCTTGTAGGTACTTTTGTTATACTGTGCTGGGAGGGGGACCTTCGCTAAAAGATTGCGAAGAGACACTTCACGTTTCATGTACGCCTTGATTAGTGAACGGTAATGACCAGTTAACCCTAGAAATGATACTAAGTTTAATGTGTCTTCTGGCTGTGCCCAGTCGACTATCGCAGTTAACTTCAATAGATCCGGTTTGACATCTGACGGTCCTACAGTGGTGCCCATGAACTCTGTTTCTGTGACCAGGAGTTGAGTTTTGGATGATGCTATCGAAAACACACATTACTTGAAGCATTGGAAGATGGCTTCAAGTTTGTTCATCATATCCTTGAAGGTATCTGCTGAACAACCTCCATCATCCATGAAAAATTCCATAGTATATAGCTCACCAGGAAGTTGTAGAGTCTTGTAGCCAGTGCTTCACAAAACATTGTTGGTGCTCCCATTATCCCCATCGGCATCCTTCTGTACCAGAAATATCCTCT